TATATATATATATATAATTAAAAAAAAAAGCGATCTCCCCACAGTGCTCCCTGGGTTAAATGACAGACATGTTCTAAAATGCTAGTGCGGGCAGATGGTGGCATAGGGGCAACGCGATGCTCTGTGAGGCCCACCTACATGGCGGGGGGCAGTTTGCCCCTGGAGACCTGCCTGAGTACGCTGAGGACAAGCGTGCCCAGGATCTGAGGCACTGAGACCCTGTCTTTCTCTCTTGCTCCCAGAATAAAGTTTAAGAAAAACAAAGTAGCCTAGGAAAGACTTATCTTGTGTGACTCTCCCGAAGGATCGAACGTCGACAACCCCGCGTCTGGCCTAAGATGGGCTAAAACGTGCCGCCGTAACAGGGAGAAGAGCACTTACTCTCCAGGAACTCCATCTGGCTGTCTTCCGTGCTGATGCAAACGGCGTTGAAGCCGTGGGTGGGGGCCACGCTGTGCTGGACTCGGTTGGAAGCTAGAGAGTGAAGGACGCTGGTTTTCCCAGCCCCGTCCAGGCCCAGCACCAGGATCTGCTTATTTTTCCCCTGTAACATGAAAGACGAATCAGTGAATGATGCCGTCAGGGTCTTGTCCTGGCTCCTGACAGTGCACCTGCCTGTGAGAACCGCCCCCCATTCCTGGACTCGTAAAGCAGAACAACACTTTTTACATGTCTGTAGGTTTAGAACAAACGGTACCAACTAGTTAGTATTTGTGTGTTTGGTTGTTTTGCCGCAGAGCATGTGCACTCACTGAAGAGAGACACAGAGACAGAGAAACAGAGAGAGAGGGAAAGTGAGAAATCATCCCCCCTGGGCGTGGCCACGTCACAGTCCCATCTCCTCCACTTTCCTGTTGGGATTTTGGGCATGCATTCACATATACCAAAGTGTTTTAAGTCACCAGGTCTAGAACTTGAACCATGCAGTGGGCCATGTAGGATCCAGCCGCCTTAACCTCCACGCCACCCGCTGGCTCTCAGTTAATATTTTCTAATCGGCCACAGAGCACCCGAGCACCAAAGTACATGATGTCATACTTTTACATGCCATGAATCCCATATCCCCTCTCCATCTCCCGACTCTGGGCCAGTCCATCGGTCAATGCTTTATGTATGTCAGCAGGGACGGGGGTGGGGGGGTGCCAGAGGCGGCAGGGCCAATTCTCAGACTTTGTTTTGCTTGTTGAGTTTGTGTCTTTTGGAGATTAAACCAGAATTCCGTTTGGGGTTATGGGACCTCCCTGGTGCGTGCATCCATTGTGCCACTCAGCACGGGAACCTCTCCAGTCTAACACGACTATTTCTGTCTTATTTTCACCCTTAGAGAACAAGATTACAGGGTTTTAGGGCAAGATCCTCCTCTTAGACTTCTTGCCTTTTTTTTTTTTTAAGAAGTTTTTGCCTGAGGGTGCGTGCACTCACTGGAGAGAAAGATAGACAGACAAGGTGAGAGGGAAAGTGAGATATCACCCCTGGGGGGAGAGGGGATGATTACACTGCAATCCCTTCTCCATTCTCCTCCCAAGATCTCGGGTATGTGTGCACATGCCCAATGTGAGTGTCAAGCCTCCGGGTTCAGAACTTGAACTGCGGTCGGCTATGTGGGAGTCCAGTGCCTTAACCACTATGCCATCTTCTGGTCCCTAAATAATTATTTATTTAATTTAATTTATTATTATTATTTTTAAAAATTGACCAGAGAGAGACAGAGACAGAGAGAGAGGGAAAGTGAGTAAGTAAGCAGCGAAGTCCGTGGTGGGCCACGTGGGAGTCCAGTGTTTTAACCACCATGCCACCTGCCGGTCCCAGGAAGTCCTTTCTGACTCCCACCCGGCCTGGCCCAGCAGAAGTCTGCCTTGGTGGTCTCATCTCTACAGGTGTTCACCTTCATGTCTTCTTTGGGGGAAAGTATCACAAAAGTAACAAACCTCCAGACACCAGAAATTGCTGTATGAAATCATGCACATGTTCAGGACAGACAAGAGCGTGACAGTGTCAGTTTACGGGTTCCCGCCTCCCCACAACCCCTTCACCCCATCTAACTGGGGTCGCTTTCCCACCAGAACGTCTTCCAGCGATTTGCCCTGGCTGCCTCCTCTTCCTGCCTCCGGGGCCTTTCTGGTGGTAGACAACAGAGAAGTTGCAGGTTGCCTTATTTTTGACTGTTCTTCCCCAAGGTAGGCTGAACAGGCCTCTAGTGCCCACTACATTGTTTTGGTTTTTAGAGGTTTTTGCCGTAGGGCACATGCACTTACCAGAGACAGAGACAGAGAGAGGGAAAGCGAGAAATCGCCTTCCAGGGGGATGGCCACGCTGCAATCCCTTCTCCTCCGTTCTTCTCCTGGGATCTTGGGCATGCACGCACATACATCTGCGTGATTTTCAAGCCACCAGATTTGAGACTGGAACGAGAGCCCAGCGATGTAAACACCACCTGGTGGTGCCTGGGCCCACTCTCCTATCCACCTGTTCCCATCTCTCATGACAAAGGTCCTGTTCTACAAACTCCTTGGGCTTGGCTGGGACTTAGAGTCTGTACCTGCTGACTTCACTAGCACGCAAACTCACTTTCACTTCATTTTTTTAAGTACAAGAAGGGCCATCAACACCCACCAGACACTTGTCCCTGAGGTCGTAAACATGAGTGAGAAACTAGGGCTGCTCTTATCATGGGACTGCCTTATTTCTTTGGCCAGATCCTCAGCACCACTTTACACGCGGGTGTTGTTTCTCGCAGAGTAATTGTATTAGCACTGTTTATACTCTCCTTTTGGTCTGGAATACCTTAACATAATTCCAAAGGAGGGATCCTGTATCGAACCATGTTCTGTGACCTGTACTTGGTGTCCTGTTTGCCAATGTGCTCTCACTTTCTGTTTAACAGAAGAACTGGATAAGTTCATCCACCTGCTTTTGCCTGTGTTTAGTGTAGTTCTTAAAAACCTCTTTAAAGGGGCCAGGAAGTGGCATAGGGTTAAGGTGCTGGACTCCCACATGGTCAATCTAAACCACATGGTAGTTCTAACCTTAGACCTGGCAACTTGCTTTTTCAATTTCCCTCTCTCTCTCTCTGGTCAAATTTAAAAAGAATAAAATAATAATAAAATAAAATAATTTAAAAAACCAAAAAACAAAAAACAAAATCTCTGTAGGGTTAGCAGGTGGCATGGTAGTTAAGGTACTAGACTCCCACATGGTTAACTGCGGTTCAAGTCCCAGGCCTGGTGGCTTGCTTTCTCACTTTCCCTTTCTCTCCCTTACTCTCTTCTATTTCTTTGGTCAAATTAAAAAAATAAATAAATAAAACAAATAAAATTAAATAAAGAAATAATTTTTATTTTATTTATTTTTTGGGGGGAGAGGTTTTTACTATAGGGCACATGCGCTCACCAGACAGACAGAGAGAGAGAGACAGAGAGACAGAAAGCGAGAAATCACCCCCCAGGGGGGAAGGCCATACTGCAATCCCTTCTCCTCCATTCTCCTCTCGGGATCTTGGGCACGCACGCACACGTGCCTGGCGTGAGTTTAAGCCACCGGGTCTGGGACGTGAACTGCAGTCAACTACATGGGAGTCCAGTGACCCAGCCATTATGCTAACTGTTGGTCCCAAAGAAATAATTTTTAAAAATACCAAAAACCTCTGGAATGGAACCCTCTTGCATTCCCAGGAGTGTGGTTGGAAAGATGAGGCAAAGCACATTTGAGCATGTCCTGGTATCGTGGTGCTGAGTCTGGGAACGGGAAGGGTCTCGAGGGATCTCAGGTCTGATTTTATTTTTGGAGATACCACTTACTGCATGACATCAGAAGACGCGATATCTAGGGCTCAAGCGGCGAGCCAGGGTTTTAGGTTGGCTGCTGAATCATTGCTGAAACCAAGACAAAGCTGGGCTTGACTTTCACGAGTCCCCATTCAGATAATAAATTGGGGGATGAGCAGATGGTGTAATGGTTATGTCGCTGGACTCCCATGTAGTCAACGGTGGTTCGAGTCCCGGACCTGGTGACTTAAACTCACGCCGGGCGCATGTGCGTGCCCAAGATTTCTGGATTTCTGGAAAAAAGAGATCCTGGACAGCAATAGAAAGTCTGTCCCATCTCCTGTTTTTGAGATTTTTGCTATAGGGCACGTGTGCTCACCAGAGAGACAGAGGAAGACAGAGAGACAGAAAGCAAGAAATCACCTCCCAAAAGGGATGGCCGCACCACAATCCCTTCTCCTCCATTCTCCTTTCAGGATGTTGGGCTTGCATGCACACGTGCCCTGTGTATTTCAAGCCTCTGGGTCTGGGACTCAAACTACGGTCAGCCATGTGGGAATCTAGTGCCTTAAGCACTATGCTACCTGCTGGGTCCCACCTTCTCTTTTAAAAGATCTATGAGGGGGGCCTGTGGGTGGTGGGGTGGTTAGGGGCACAGAACTCCATGTGGCTCATCGTGGTTTGGGACCCGGGCTTAGCAGCTTGCTTTCTCACTTTCTCTCTCTTTCTCTCACTCTGTCCCTCTCTGGTCAAATTAAAATTAATTAAAGTGAAATGAAGTAATTCCTTTTTTGAGGGGAGAGATTTTTGTTAGAGGGTGCATGCACTCACCAGAGAGAGAGAGAGACAGAGACAGAAAGCGAGAAATCAGCTCCTCCAGTGGATCCTTGTGTACAGAGTATGATTCATGAAGGCCATGTGGTGAATAACTGAATTTGAATAAAGAAAGCATTGGTGGAGTCAGCAGGTAGTGTGATGGTTGAGGCACTGGCCTCCCACGTGGCTGACTGCAGTTCTAGTCCTAGACCTGGCAGCTTGCTTTCTCACTTTCTCCCTCTCGCTGTCTCTCTCTGGTGAGTACATGTGCTCCATAGCAAATTAAACTAACAATAATAAATGAATGAATGAATAAAATACACTTTAAAAAGAACGTATTCATTCTTTTTTTTTTTTTGAGAGGTTTTTTGCGCTCGCCAGACAGACAGAGACAGAGAGACAGAAAGCGAGAAATCACCCTCCAGGGGGGATGGTCACGCCGCAATCCCTTCTCCTCCATTCTCCTCTCGGGATCTTAGGCACGCATGCACACGCGCCCAGCGTGAGTTTTAGGCCACCAGGTCCGGGACACGAACTGCGGTCGACTACGTGGGAGTCCAGCGACATAGCCATTATGCTAACTGCTGGTTCCCAAAAACGTATCATTCTTGACTCGAACTCTTAATGGCTCTGAAAGCAAACGATATTTCCGTGGGAGTTTGATCCCATCTCCTCCTCCTCACTCTCTGGTCTGATGTTATAATGTAGGTCTAGACGTTGCAATGTCCTGAGAGTGCTCTGGAAGGGAGAGGGACTTGATGTACAAACGGGGCTTCCAGGGGTGGCAGGTGGCATGGTAGTTAAAGTGCTGAACTCCCACATGGCCAGCGGTGGTTCGGGTCCCAGACCTGGTGGCTTGCTTTCTCATTCTTCATCTCGCTCTCTCTGGTCAAATTGAAGAATAATAATAAATAAAATAAAATAAATAATTATTTTTAAAAGGGGGGACTTCAAGGGATGGCTTTAAATTACATACTTTACCCAAGAGTGGTGTACAGTGGTGTACCACAGGGGGTGTACAGTGTCTCCCCACAACCACAACACTCACCAGGGGCCCCCCACTTTAGCTGTCCCAACATATTCATTTTCCCCATTTTAACAGCTCTGAAATTAGCACATATTTTACACTCTATGGATGTCATGTTTGGGTTGACAGCATTTTTCTTTTTTTTTGTTTTTGCCAATAGGGCATGTTTGCTCACCAACGAGAGAGAAAGAGAGACGGTGGGAGGGAAAGTGAGACATGAACACCCCCTTACTCCCCCCCCCACCAATGGCCAAGCGGAATCCCTTCTCCACTCTCTTCCTGAGATTTTGGGCATTCAGGTGCCGGCAGTGATTCTCCAGCTGTGGAGTCCGGGAATTGAACTGTGGCCAGCCACGTAGGAGTCCAACGCCATAACCACTACGCCACCTGCCAGCGCATTTTTCTTTCTTAAGGGTACCTAGAATACTGGCTCCTGTTTCTTATGAACTGCTGTGCGCGAGGAACGGCTCCTGCTGCTCCGCAACCCCCGGGGCGAGCCCTCCCCAAGCCCGCGCTGCACGCAGGCTCCGTGCGCTCACACCTCGCGTGTAGACGCTCTGGAAGGCCGAGAGGGGTAAACCAGCCGGACACGACACGCAGTTCTGAGCGTCTGTCTCGGGTGGAAAATAATGCCTCCCGCCACACATGGGTTTGTGTAGCGCGTTTGCGGGGTCAGAGATCAAAGATCAGATCTCTCTGGATAATTCGGATTGTTTAGAAGCAGAAAGCAGTTCTGAGCCCAGGTGCCGGCTCAGGACTCGGGCTCTCGAGCCAAGCCGCGTCCACCGCGGTTCGTGTCTAAGACGCTCGGATCAAAGTGCGACCGGCCCTTCTCAGGGCTGATGGCCCGCGCCCGCAAGCAGCAACCACAGCGCCGGGGACGAGAACCGCCGGCCCCGGACACCCCTGCGCTGCCTCGGCCGGGCCCGCCCGATCGCGCCGCCCCGGCAGCTTCCCACGAGTCGTGGCGCGGGACAGACCGGCGGGACCGGGGCCGTTCTGGAGTCCCCCCAGATCAACTCAGACGGGAGGGAGATTAGGGTGCAGGTGGGCGTGGGGCGGGGTGCGGGGAGGGAGCAGGGCCGGCGCGGGGCGTTCGAAGCTCGGCGGATCTCTGCGCCCGCGGACGAAACGCCCGGGTGGGACGGCCCTCCGGGCGGGCTGGGGCCTGGGACGTAACAAAGCAGGCGCGGGTCGGGGGTCCCGGCTGGGGTCTTACCCGGGGCTCGGGCGGGGCCCTCGGCGAGGCGCCCACGCGGTTCTCCTCTCCGTTCCCGGTGAAGGGCTGCGCGGCCGCCGCCTCGGCCTCCTTCCTTCGCACTGGCCTCTCGTCCGCCTCCTTCTCCTCTTCCCGCCTGCTCGTGTCCTCCTTCCCCTTCTCTTCTTTCCGCTTCTCCTTTTCTTTTCCCTTAGTCTTCTCCTTCTCCCCTTCCTTCTTTTTCTCTTTCTCTTCCTTCTCGTTTCTTCTAACGCTCCCCTGCGGCTCCTTCCCTCTCTCTTCCCTTCCCTTTACGCGAAAGCTGTCCCTCTCCGGCTCCTTCCCTTTCTCTTCTCTCCCGTTTCCTCTAATTTTCTTCTCCGGTTCCTTTCCTTTTTCTTCTCTTCCGTTTCCTCTAATTTTCTCCTTCTCCGCTTCCTTCCCCTTCTCTTCTTTTCCATTTCTTCTAACGCTCCCCTGCGGCTCCTTCCCTCTCTCTTCCCTTCCCTTTATTCGAATGCTCTCCTCGGATTCCTTCCCCTTCTCCTTTCCCTTTGCCCGAATGCTCTCCTTCTCCGCTTCCTTCCCTTTCTCTTTATTCCTCAGTTTCCCCCTCTCCATCCCCAGCGCCCTGGGTTCCTTTCTGCCCCTGCGCGCCTGCGCGCGGAGCCGCTGTGGCCCTGGTCCTGGCGGGGGGGCCAGGGGCCCCAGACGTAGGTCCCACCGCAGAGACCACACCCGCGGTCCCCGCCCGCGCAGCCTGCGGTCTGGCCTTTAGCGCTGGCCGCCGGCCGAGCGCCCTCCGAGCCCACTCGCCGGACCCTGGGGTCGGAGGGGGACCGAAGTGGAAGACAGGGGGCTAGGACCTAGGTGGAGCCCAGTCAAGGGTGACTCGGGAGTTGGGTGGGCACGGCTGGACTGGCCGTCATGGCGGGGAAAGCGTCCCTAGGCTCCCCTTGGGAGGGCGCCGGACGCGAGGCCCTTGGGCTGAGCAGGTGTCCCAGAAGCGCCTTCCACGCAGGCCGCGTCCCGGGCAACTTCGGCGGCTGCCCTCTCCAGCTTCAGCCGGAGCCCGCCCAGTCAAGGGTCTCCAACCGGAGGACACCTGGGGCGCCAGAGTTGGGGTGTCCCGTTAAATCCTGCCTCCTCCAGCTCCAAACTTGAGCCTGAAAAGCCCTCGGCCCTGGCTAAATGCCACTAGGAGCGCCTAACCCGGCTGCTTACCCAGGACAGCTGGTAAGGGAAAACGGAGGAGCGCAATAGCTCCATGGTTCCAAACTCAGGTTGCATTTTGCTTTAAAACCTCGGGAGATTAAGTAGGCTGCCAGGATCAAGACTACTATGTATCAGGTATGAAGAGCATCGGAAACCAAACAGTCTAGTGATGTCCAGTGATCTAATGTCGTGAAAGAGCCACCCGCCGGGGTTCTCAAAGGTGGTGTAATGTGGCTTCGGTTACCGAGGGGTTCTCTTTATTATCTGAAGGTAGACTCTAGGATTGCCGCGATTTTCTAAACTGCTGTAAACTGGTTTTCCTCCATCTCTCCCCAGCAGGTCCTGCTGGGGAGGAACAATGAATGGAGTGCAGATTCAGGCGTGGGTGATGCGAGTTAAAGTCAGAGGCTCTCAGTGCCTTGAAAACGTTGCACTTCATAACCTTGAAAAGGTTTCCTTCCTCCTGCTTGTTAATGCACACGCCATGATTTTTCAGTGCAATTTAAAACGAGGTTCTGTCAATCCTATTCGTTTTGTGGCTCTGCTGGGAAGAGCAGGTAAGATACTCAGTGTAAAAGCAAACTAAGCTAACCAGGAAGGCCTTCATAAAATGCCAACACCCAAAACAGCTCAACCCATATTCACTGGTAGAGTATTTTATTTTAAAATGTGCCACAGTGAATGGATGTATCCATACTGATTTTTATAAATGCACACAAACACACACTCGTACATACATACCAAGTATATATGTCACTGGTTAAAGATTTGTCCAAAAGAAGAAATAATTACTAGAAAGTTAACATAGAGGTTTACACACTTCACTTGACAATGCTGACTTCTGTCTGGGAACTGAGGGTCGGCTGTGTAGCAATGACAATAGAAATGGCTCAGGGCTATAAACGACACTGTGGTGCCCTGGGTCGAAATTCAAATGATGAAAAACTTTCACCAGGATTCTGTTGCTTAATCTAAAAAATGATCCTTCGCTGCAGAAATTCAATGGAGTCATAAATAACAAATGTACTCACAAAATTATTTCTGTAATCGGGTATCTATTTAGAAGAAATACACATGTTCTTACCAAGATCTCTGCAGGGCTCAAAAATTATGCCCTAATAAGTCATCCTTACATTCTGAGAGAAGCTCGTGTGCAGAGGCCGCTGCAGATGCTGATTATGCTAACAGAAAGGCGGTGCCCCATTTCTGATCTTGGAAACAGGAAAGACTTAAAATGTGAAACTCTTTGAAGAAGTTGCAGTAGATATGTTCAGAGTCAAACACAGCAGCACTTTATTAACAGAAACGGAGTAATGTGATCACAAGGTTCTTGTCTAAATTAAAGGGTATCTTGGGCAGCGTAAGATGAACACTAAGAAGGGCAGGTACCCCGAGGCATCTTCTCCCAGCTGTTCATCGTCAAAGTGGCTTGGCGGCAAGGAGAGACAAGAGCAACACTGATACCACAAACTGGTGGGGAACTAGTTTGTGACTTGGCGCCAGCAGGTGGCCTGGTGATTTAGGTGCTGGATTCCCACGGAGCTGAGCATGGTTTAAATCCTGGATCTGGTGGCTTGAGAATCATGCTGGGTGCGTGTGCGTATGTGCTCAAAATCCCAATAAAAAAATGGAGAAGGGACTACGGCATTCTCTCTGGGGCCTGATTTCTCAGTTCCCCTCTGTCTGTCTCTACCAGGCACACATACTCTAGAGCAAAAACCTAAAAATATACAGGTATTTTTCCATGACTTTGAAAAAGGTAACGAATGGTCATAACCCCTGACTACTAGCAGGAGTCATGTGAGTATCTATTAATTGAGCCCAATAGATTTTTAACACTGTCCTGAACTTGGGCACTGCTTTCCTCTCTGTGTGAGTCAAGGTTTGTGTTCTTCACAGGGGCCTTGTATTAAAAGATTTATTTTATTATTCTTCTTCAATGTGACAAGAGACAGAGAGAGAGAGAGAGAGAGAGAGAGAGAGAGAGAGAGCTGCTAGGTCTGGGACTTGAACTGTAGTTGGCCATGTGGGAATCCAGCACTTTATCACAACCCCACCTGCCGGCCCCTCAAAGGGGCCCTTTAACCCTTATGATTGAGACGGTCCAAATCCACCTGGCCTCAGAACACTGGGTCTACGAGTCCCTTTTTATCACATGGTATTTCTAAACAGGTATTTGGAATACTCAGAAAATTCCACTTTCTGCCTCCTGAGATACAATTTAAAGAGGGACTTGAGTAGCAACAGGTATCTTCAGGTTCCAGTTGAGACAACAGAAGTGGTTTCTGCTGAAATCCTGGGAAATCGGATAACATGCCTTGTTTGTGAAACTGAGAACCAATCAAACCAGCACACAGAGAATGCGCGACATCAAGGCGGGTAAATGCCCAGTTGCTTCCAGTCGCCACCAGTGCAAAGCGAGGTGGTAGAGGCGGGCCGGGCCTGGCGAGGCAGTCTGAGGCTGATGTTCTCCTAGCCGACAAGAAGCTGCTTCATGAAAATACGGATGGAAAGGGAATAGTTCTGTGCTTCTCGCTGTGTTACCTTATTCTGTTCCTAGTGTCATTGGGACTAGTTTAAAAATAGCTTGCGACAAAAATGTTCCAATCACCAGCCTCCCTTTCCACCTTTCTTCTTTTTCTGTTGCTGCTTCTTCTTTGTGGCTGGAGCCCCTGCAGGCTTCTGGTGCCTCGGCGGTATGATGTTACTTGTGGAGGCAGGGCCGGCCGCCGCACTGCCAGGCCTCGGGGAGGTGGGGGGGCTGCTCACAGTTTTACTGGCATCCCTGAAATCAGCACAGCGGACAACTAGTCACTCAAACACTCAATAAAGGACAGGCCGCATAGAACGCACGTGCGTGGATTTTACTCTGCACCCCTGTCTCCTGAACATTATTTCTTTAAACACAGGTTCTCCAATTTTTCTCCCTACTCATTTTGCTTTTGAATAAAACTTTTCCTGTATCAAAGAAACATTTTATTTTATTTATTAATTTTAAGAGGTTTTTGTCTTAGGGTGCATGTGCTTGCCTGAGAGAAAGACAGAGACAGTGAGAGGCAAAGTAAGAAATCACCCCTCAGAGGGGATGGCCACTCCACAACCCCGTCTCCTCCATTCCCCTCCTGGGATCTTGGGCACACACACACACACGCACCCTGCATGAACTTCAAGCCACTGAGTCTGAGACTCGAACCACGGTTGGCCGTGTGGGAGTCCAGTGATATAACCACTATGCAACCTGTGGCCCAAGAAACAAATTTCAAATGATCTGTAATTCTACCATGTAGAAATAACATTTTAAATACTTCTTTCTACTCTGCCAGTAAATGAAGCTAGTTGGATGACATAGGGTATTAAATCCCCCTTGAACTAACTACGTTTGCTTTCTACCCTTAGTGGAGCAGTGACTTACAGTTCAGACGAAGCTCCTGCAGTTGCTCCCTGGGTCCCTTTTCCAATCTGGTCCTTCTTTTTACCCTTCTTCCTTCCTCGGTAGTAAGAACGTTCTCGCATGGGTAGCCATCGTTCTGGATCGGGGGTAACTTTTGGGTCATAATTCTTAGGCAGCTTTCCTGTATAATGAGTGATAAAGAAATGTGTCCATAATATTTTCAAAATAATTTGAACAATGTATCTAAACCTGAGAATAAATAAAATCAAAACAAATTTATGTGAGGAAGTTTTTTTTTTTTTTTTTAAAGAATTACTATTTAATTTTGTTTATTATTCTTCAGTTTGACCAAAGAGAGAGAAAGAGAGCAAGAAAGAGAATGAAAAAGCAAGCCACCAGGTCCGGGATTTGAACCACAGCAGGCCATGTGGCAGTCCAGTGCCTCAACTACTACACCATCTGCCAGCCCCAATATATGAGGAAGTTTTATTTGTATAATCTAGTAGGGGAAAAGTCTTTATTTCTCAGCATCACACAAAATTCACAAATCATAAAGGAAAAGATTTCACAGATATATCTATATAGTTTTTTTTGTTTAGTAAAACATAATACATTTTTTTAAGAGAGATTTTTGCTCTAGAGTGCATGCACTTGCCAGAGAAGAGAGAGGACAGGGCGACAAAAACCGAGAAATTACCCCTCAGGGAGGATGGTCATGACACAATCCCTTCTCTCAGGATTTTTCAGTATGTACACACATGCGCCTGGCGTGAGTTTTAAGACGTCAGGTCCAGGACTCGAACCATGGTCAACTATGTGGGAATCTAGCAACGTAACCATTATGCTATCTGCTGGTCCCAAGACGTAATACATTTTAAAGAAAGATTTTAAGCTACATAGTATTTAACTGAGTAAATCAGTATTCTTAATATAGAAAGAATTATCACTAATCAACTCAAAGATTGGTGTGGTTGTAATTAGGGCAAGCCAGGAGAAATAAGGACTTATTTTTGTGAACAAATGCTCACTGTCATTAGTTTAAAATGAGAAAGTAAGAAATTCTCCAAGAGGGGACCAGCAGTTAGCATAATGGCTATGTTGCTGGAGTCCTATGTAGTCGACAGCAGTTCGAGTCCCGGACCCAGTGGTTTAAACTCATGCTGGGTGCGTATGCATGTGTGCCCAAGATCCAGAGAGGAGAAGGGATTGCAGCATGGCCATCCCCCCTGGGGGGGGTGATTTCTTTCTATCTGTCTGGTGACCGCATGCACCCTATAGCAAAAACCTCTCAAAAAAAAAAAAAAAACCAAAACCTACAAGAGATCTTGAAAAAGTTCATGGAAATACATATTAGGAAAACTACGCAGGGATTTCAAGTTTTTTTTGCAACAAAATAAACTCATACTTTAATTCCATTTTTCAGTGAACTATTTGAAGTCCCCTTGTATTAGACGAACATTCAAGGCTGTAATACCCAGAGTTGGTGAAATGAAAAACACTCAAAAACGAATGGGAGAAGTGTAAACAAGGATGGCCTTTGTGGAGAGCAATTTCTAAGGTTGTCAGAGGGTGTGTGCACATTCCAGGGGGAGAGGGAGAGGGAGAGGGAGAGACCTGGCCCTGCTGCGATCATTTCTCCTCCTGGGTTCTATCCTGCCAGGATGTGGGGCATGCATGCACACATACCTGGGGGTTTACAAGCTGCCAGGCCAGGATTTGAACTGTGGTCAGCCATGTGGGGTCTGTCCTCCTCCCGCCCCCAACCGCTAGGCCACAGGGTCAGCCTTGGATTCGGGCATTCTAATTCCAAAAAAAGTACTCATCTCTTTGATCCCCACATAAAATTGGCCCCCACTGAGCTCCCATTTACTTTGGCAGTATGTCAAAATGTACAGACTCCTAGAAATTTACCCTACAGAAACCCATGAGCCATAATGCTAGGTAGAACTAGTCTCTGACATTTCCTTTCCTTTTTCTTTTTTTGGTTATAGGGTGTGTGTGCTCGCCAGAAAGACAGAGAGAGAGAGGGGGAGAAGTCACTCTGGGGGATGGCCATGTCCCATCTCTTCTCCATCACCCTCCTCTCAGGGTTCTGGGCAGGAACGCACACATGCCCAGTGTGTTCACGCTGGGACATTTCAAATACTCCAAAGAGCCCACCTGAAACACTCAGAAGATTCTACTTCAGTTTCCTAAAGCCTCCCGAGATACAATTTAAAGAGGAAACTGAGTAGGACAGGTTATGTCCAGATTCCAGTAGGGCCTGGGGCTTGAACCATGAAGTCAGAGATGTGGGATCCAGCACCTTAACCACGCTACTACCTGGTGGCTCCTCTCTGATAGTCTTTAAAATGGCAAAATAACTTAAATATCTACCAATGAGAATGATTAAATATAGTATGTCCTACTACAGTAAGCTATACAACTGACTTAAAAGTACACTTACATTTAATAATTTGAAAAAATGTTCTTCATAATTCAGTTTAAAGTAGAGCATTAAAACAAATTATGATACCATATTTTATTAGTTATAAAAACTTTTTTGATTGAACAAGTATATAACTAAATCCATGTTTTTGTATCCAAAAAAAAGTTAAACAACATCTCTGAGAACATGAATTTGGGGCAGGGCATTTTTCCCCTCTTTAATGAAAAAAACTATGACCTTTGTTTTTTTCCTATGGTTTCAGAATGAGCGCATACTACTCATAAAATTTTTTTAAAACGCTCTTCTGGGAACCACAAAATGGGAAATAAAGTAAAATTGTAGCTTACTACAACCTATAGTCATGAGCTGTTCCCTTGTGGTATCACTAATACATAAAAGAAATACTTCTTGGGGCTAGTAGGTGGTGTGGTGATTAAGGTGGCTGGATCCCGCGTGGCCAACTACTCAAGTTGAAGTACTGGACCGGGTGGCCTGAAAATCATGCTGGGCGCTTGGTGTGCCCAGGGTCCCAAGAGGAGAATGATGGAGAAGCATAGCGACTGGGGGGAGGGGGAGTGATTTCTCACTTTCTCTCTTTCCAGCGAGCACACCCAACCTATAGCAAAAACTGGAAGATTAAAATGCAAACGTTAGCTTATGCAGTACCCCAAACTCCACTGAAGTGATGATAAATACATCAGAAGGAAAAATAGGAGAAAGATATTATCAATAAACTCCTGGGACCTGGAAAACAGACGGAGTGGTAATAAACTTCAGCTAAGACTTGGGTAACCTGAATTTTAGCATGGCAATGGAAAATCAAGAAGCAACCTGATTTATAGACTCCCCCTAACTCAGAACAGGCAGGTGGCTCCTGGGATAACCTCTGACGAGGGGAAGCCACCATGGCAATTCCACCTCCTCCTTCCAGGGACAAAGAACACAGCCAGAGACACTCAATGCATGGCATCCTCCTGGCTGACTCCCTTGTCCTCAAGGCTGGACACTGACCTTCTGTGGCCCAGTCAGATTAATGAGAAAGGCCTGCTAAGCCCAAGAGGCCCCCTTAGTCCTGCTGGACGCAGATGACAAGTATGTGGCCTTCACGTTTCCAGCAAATGTCCTGCTAATGGGAGTCAGTTTTGTGGCGAGCAAAACAGACACACAATGACCAGCTCTCTTGATGCCACCCTCCTCTAGACTGCCAGTTCATAAACGGTGTATTCGCAGGACCAGCAATTGGTGTAATGGCTACGTCACAGGACTCCCATGTACTTGACCGTGGTCTCAGTCCTGGATCCGGTGACTTAAACTCACGCCGGGCGCATGTGTGTGCGTGTCCAAGATCCCGAGAGGAGAATGGAGGAGAAGGGACTGTGGCATGGCCATCCCCCCTGGGTGATTTCTCACTGTCTGTCTCTCTGCTGAGCGTATGTACCCTATAGCAAAAACCTCTCAAAACAAAACAAAAAAACAGTGGATTTGCTCATGCCAGTCTGATGAGGTTTTATGGTTTTTTTTTCCCCTAACTAAAACAGCTGACACCTTTATTTTCACATCTCACAGTAAAAATAAAAACTGCACTTCTTTGTCCCACTTCCCTCTCCTCCAAAACTATTCTGAATTTTTAATTTCTATTAATATGAAGAGAGTCTTCCTTGACATGCTATTAGAAAACACTCAGTGACAGCACCATGACCTCCTGTGAAGCAGAACAAGTTAAAACTGACACAGAGAAGCCCCGCCTCCATCCTTACCTGCCTGGCCGAGTGGGCACCATCACAGGCCGGGCGGAAGGTCTCACCACTGGGGGCTCAGGCATCACGGGCACGTGGTCCCCCATGGGTGGCCTCGTTCTAGGAGCAGATCCTACTGGTGCCATCCCAGGAGGAGGACGGCCTGCTATATGGGGTACTGGCATCGTGCCAGGGCAAGGACCCGGAAGATGGGGGTGGGGAGGGAGGGGTTAGAACATCACCCCTGCAGGAGGAGGAGGAGCAGAGAGTGGACTAGGAGCCATCTTCCCTATTGAAATGCAGCCGTTTCTGTATCAGTCAGGCTCTGAGCCTGCTCTTCCATCCCCTCTGATGCTGGTCCTTCTTTTTTTTTAAATTTAACTTAAATTTTTTTTAGAGGTTTGTGCTATAGAGTGCGTGCGCTCACCAGACAGACAGAGAGACAGAGAGACAGAAAGTGAGAAATCACCCCCCGAGGGGATGGCCATGCCGCAATCCCTTCTCCTTCATTCTCCTCTCAGGATCCTGGGCACATGCACACACGTGCCCGACGTGAGTTTTTTAAGCCACCGGATCCAGGACGCGAACCGCGGTCGACTACGTTGGAGTCCAGCGACACAGCCATTACGCTAACTGCTGGTCCCTCTGATGGTGGTCTTTTACACTCTTCATGTTTCCTACCACCGCCGTATGTTTTTCTCACGGATGGAGAGTTGCGGGTGAGGTGTGTGTGCATCACAGAGGTCACAATAAAGACAAGGCACATTGCTCTGCAGCCCGCTGGCCAAGCTGTACCGTACTGAGAGCCCAAACTTCCTCACTTACAAAGGCTCACTGCGTGCCAGGCACCATCCTGAGGGCTCTACATGTAGAATCTCAACACTATGAGGTATGCGCTGCCATCCCATTTCACAGATGAAAACTCAGGCAGGTTGTCTACAATCACCCAGTGAAAACGCACTACTGCAACAACTTGAATTTAGGCCATCAAACTCCAGAGCAGTACTTGTTAAAGTAATGCAATTAAATGTTTGCTATAGTTAAGACAAAAGTCAGTGTTCAGAAATACAAGAAGTGGGCAATATATTAATGTCTGAGGATTTCTATATAAGGCTAAAAAGCTTTTTACCTTGCAGAAGAGAAACCTAAAAATTAAAAAAAAAAAACAAAAAACCTTACCTTTCTTTTTCTTCTTCTTCTTTTTCAAATCTCCTTGTCTACAAAAAAGAAGAAAATATATCACCATCGCTGTGATAAAAGATTTACAGAGCATGAAGCATGTGAACGAGTGAGCTGGGCAAGCTATCACAATGGTGCGTAAGACGCGGATCCAGCTTGCCACGGCTGACGGATCAGTTGGAATATCGATTTAGGTTCAATTCAATGGAGTTTCAGATACTACTAGGTCGTTGGAAAAGTCATGACATTTTTCTACGCAAAAACACGTCATGACTTTTCCAACGACCCAATATAACTTAAAAAAAAAAAGAAAGAATGATTATTTTTTAATTTGATCAAAGAAACAGGGAGAGAGACAGAGGAGGAAAATGAGAAAGCAAGCCACCAGGTCCAGGCCTCAAACCGTTGTAGGCCATGTGGGAGTCCAGTGCCTTAACCGCCACACCACCTGCCAGCTCCACCAATATGACTTTTGGAAGGTAGTTTAGAGAGGTAAGGGCCAGCGAAGGCACAGTGGTTAAGGAATTGGACTCCCACGTGGTTGACCATGGTTCAAGTCCCAGACCTGGTGGCTTGCTTTCTCAGTCCTTCCCTCTTTCTACCTCGGGACAAAATGAAGAAGAATAATAAACAGAAAGTTAAACAAATCATTTGTTTTAAAAAAAGAGGTAATAAAGGTTTTCAGAAATAGATACCATATATATTGAAGAAAACATGTTAAGTGGCAATCTATGTAAAAAGGCTAAGTAATCCACAGAGATGAAAATCCACAACACCTCAACAAACCACCCTATATTTGGCTGATTTTAGAGAACAGATACAGTCTTGAAGAACATGGACAGGTAAAAGACATAAACAGAGTACTTCTGGAAGGACGTGCAGAGAAGAGACACTGGTGTGGCCTTAGGAGGGGGGGTAAGTAGGTGGGAGGACGACGTTTTGCTTTCCCTGTACTTAAATATTTTTCATTTTTTAAACTTTGAACTTTGTGAGTCAATTTTTTTAATCAGTAAAATCTTTATTAAGTATATTAATGAACACTAATAAGAACATAAGAAATCAAGAAAATACTTAGAAATAATTGTGAAGCATTCTGAAAGCTCTAGTGAAGGGAAGAAAACGAAAGATGCCTCTCTATAAACTCATGTGTGAAACACCACTACGAAAGCTAGGAAACAGTGAATAAAATGAGCCAACTTCTGCCGAGAATTCATTCCACAAGCCAGTCAACTGTGAAGGTTCTTCAGGAAACCCTGGAGACTAGAAAGGGGAGCGCAGTATCTTCCTACAGCGCTGCGTCTCCTTCCCAGGCTTTGCGATGGTATTCTGAACTGTCTCTTACAACCATACCTCACGGTCGTTAACTATTAACAATTCCTCAGAGGTTCTGTCATTTACTTCTCTGCCTTGGCTCACGCCTTGCCTACCTCATCTTCCTCAGAGCCAAGATCACCTCCTTCAAGAAGCCTTTCCTAACTTCCAACTGTCCTCAGAAAGAACCAACTATTCTCTCTGGTGTACTCGCAGACGCCCTGTACAATCATAAACCTTTACCGCAATTCTTACTTAACCTTTGCATCCAAAAGTGAGCGCACAAGAAAGAGCATTAAGTAATGCCTAAGAGGGCCAGCTGGGTGGTGTGGTGGTTTAGGTGGCTGGATCTCGCACGGCTGACCCTGCAGCTGGAGTCCTGGACCTAGTAGCTTGAAAAACATGCCAGGCAGTGGGACCAGCAGATGGCATAATTGTTATGTTGTTGGACTCTTACACGGCTCACTGCAGTTCAAGTACAGACCTGGTAGCTTGAAACTCACACTGGGCACATGTGCACGTGTGCCCAACATCCCAGAAGAGACCGGAGGAGAAGGGATTGTGGCATGCCCATCTCCCTGGGGGGGAAGGGAGGTGATTTCTCACTTTCTATCTGTCTCTCTGGTGAGTATACACACCCTATAGCAAAAAAATCTCTCTAAAAAGAAAAATAAAAACATGCCAGGCATGTACATGTGTACGCAAAATTCTGTGGAGAATGGAGAAGAGACAAGAGTGTGGCCATCCACCTAGGGGTGCTTTCTCACTTTTCCTTTTCTGTCTCTCTCCAGCAAGCACAAGCACTCTACAGCAAATTTAAAAGGGTAGGGGAAGGTGCTAGTCGGTGGCATGGTGACTAAGGTGGCTTGACTTAGTAGATCAAGTTCTAGACTTGGCAGCCTGGAAAACACGCCAGGTGGGGAGTGTGTGCACGGACCCAAAATTCTGAGAGAACAGAAGAGAAAGGACTGCAGCATGGCCATCCCCTATGGGGGCAGATTTCTCACTTTCCTTCTCTATCTCTGCTGAGTGCATGAGCCATGTAGCAAAGAAACTAAGGAAAAACAAAACAAAACAGTTCATGTACATCTTAATGATTATCTAAGGGGAAAGATAAGAGAGGAATAAAGAATTAGAGAAGAATTGCTCTGGGCCAGCAGGTAGCGTGGAGATTAAGGCGGCTGGAACCCATATGGCCAACTCGCGACTGAGTCCCAGACTCAGAGGCTTGAAAAATCACACTGAGCAAATGTGCATGCATGCCCAAAATCCTGAAAGAAGGGATTGCAGCATGGCCGTCCTTCCAAGGGTGTGATTGCTCACTTTCTCTCTTTTTCCAGAAAGCACACAAGCCCTACTGCAAACTATATACAGAAAGAGAATGAGCAAGAGAGAAAAAAGAAGAAAGAAAGAAAAGAACTATGTTCTTACTAGCTACCCAACCCTGTTTTGGTACAGAAAAAAGTACTGAAAATATTTCAATAGGCATTATTTTAAAACCTAGCTAAAACTTAGCTTGAATTTATTTCACTTGGGGATTTTTGATAAGGCTTGAAATTAGAATCATGATGAAAAGGAATTTGGAAAATGTAATATCTTTGTGACTACGATTCCTTACCAAAGTTAAAATTTTACTATGAAAATACCAATGCTTTTTATGAAACACAGAATGTGGACTGAAGGAAGTCAAATAGAAAAATGCATCATGATTTTTCCAATGACCCAATATATTGTTGCTGGTATTTTCTTTACTTAGAAAAAGAAAAAAATTGCTACAGGAGAAACAGTGAAAAATGGCAAATTACAAAACTGGGCAAGCATTCTCTGTCCTGTGTACTGTTCACCCTGAGTCAAAAGGAAACCCACAACCATTTTACTGCAGCCCTCTGCTGCCACCCTGAGTCAAAAGGAAACCCACAACCATTTACTGCAGACCTCTGTTTCTGGTGTGTTTAAGATGACAATGTGGGAGAGGGGGAAAGAACGGGAATTTGGCTTCTTGAAAGTAAATAAAGCCAGCTAACCTTTTCTCTAAATCAGCAAAACAATCCATCTGAACTTAGTTCAGGAATACCAATGATGTACTAAATGTGCATCAGTTACTTACAGGTTAAAGAAGTAGACGAGGTCAGCTTCCAGAGTATTGTGCATAACAAGAATGAAATATGTCTATGTTTAGTGCATGAAAAGATCTCTAAGACTTACTAAATGGAAGCAAACGGGAAAACAGTAAGTGCAACATAATTCCCCTTCTGTTAAAAAAAGAAAAAAAAAAAAGCCACGAGGCCCAGCCAAGGTGGTGCAGCCTCCCGCTCCCCGGGTCACCCTGAAAACACACTGGGTGTGCCTACAGGTGACCAGGATCCTGAGGAACTGCAGGGCTGGGGAGGGGAACAATGGGTTGACAGGACCCTGCCAAAGGTGCTTTCTCTCTCTTCTCTATCATAAAACAAACTGATCTAAGGAAAATATGTGTAAACTAGCTATCCATGAAAATAGAAAGAAAAAGACATGGAAGGGTACACCAAAGTCGCACCAGAGGCTAATTCTGGGTCGGGGGAAGAGGGAAAATGAGGACTAAGAGCTGAGCACAGCAAAAGGAGGGGAAGAAACAAAGGAGACTGAACTTTATTCACATGAAGTTTTATAAAAGTGTATTTTTTATTCCTTAAGAATTTCCAATCTGCATTAAAGAATGTCACAATGAAAAACATTACCCTTGTTCCTTCGGTTGACTATCTCCGGTAACTTTTCCACCTTTCTTCCGAATGTACGTAGCACCAGGTGAATTTTCAAGGGCCTCGACATCTACCTTTAGAGACATGCTATCCGACGAGGGCAAGTGTTTACTAAGACTGAGACAGAACAGGAGTTCAGGAATGCAACATATGCGCACACACAGACACGTCTGCCAAGATGCCCATGCCAATGGAAAGGCACTGTCTTTTCTAGATGCCCACCACCAAAAGCAAAAACTCTTCTTCCATCGTCCGCAGAGTAACCCATCAGCAAGTCATGTAATAACACGGCATATGTTCTGCAAAGGAGAACTTGGGAAGTAATAATCTATCTCTTCTTTAACTCACTGATATACTGGATCATCAGAAAAGTTATGACACATTTCTGCATAGAAAACGCTGAAAAATGCATCGTGACTTTCCCGACGACCCAATAGTTCAAAGTGATGGCTCACTTAAAACTCCATTCTGAAACAACCATCAAACTTACACAACACAGACTTGCTTACTGAGGCTGTGGCTTGTGGCTGGCTTAGAATCTACTCCTCCACCCTGGTGTGGGGACAGCACCCTGGTGAAGAGTACAGTACTGCCTTTACCTGTGGTTTCACTTTTCAAAGTTTCAGTTATCTTTGGTCAATCTCAGTCCAAGATGTGACACAGATCATTCCAGAAGTAAGCAATTCCTAAGTTTTAACGTGCTTTGCTGAAGCATCCTGCACTGCTCAGGATGTGAGTCATCCCTTTGTCCCACGCATCCATGCCGATACTCTACCTGCCTGCTGGTCACTTTGCAGCTGTTCTGGTTGTCAGGGGGGAAACTGATAGAAGGCCAGTCAGTGACATGGTGGCTAAGGTGGCTGGATCCCACATGGCTGGCGGCATGGTTCAAATCCCAGACTTGGGACCAGCAGTTAGTGTAATGGCTATGTCGCTGGACTCACATGTAGTCAACCACGGTTTGTGTCCTGGACCTGGTGGCTTAAAACTCACGCCGGGCGCATGTGCGTGCGTGCCCAAGATCCCAAGAGGAGAATGGAGGAGAAGGGATTGCAGCGTGGTCATCCCCCCTGGGGGGTGATTTCTCACTTTTGGTCTCTCTGTCTGGCGATTACACATGCTCTATAGCAAAAACCTCTCAAAAAAAAAAAAAAAAAAAAAAAAATCTCAGACACAGTGGCTTGAAACACATGATGGGCACAAAATCCCAAGAGGAAAATGGAGAAGGGATTATGGCAGGGGCATTACCCCCAGGCGGGAATTTCTCACTTTCCCTCTTTCTCTTGTCTCTGGTGAGTGTATATATCCCGTAACAAATTAGTGGTGGTGGTGGTAAAGTGGTGAGCATAGCTGCCTCCCATAACAAATTAAAAAGGAAAAAAGATATATATGTGCCGCCTACAAAAAGTGCACGGAAAATCAGCATTATGGAAAAACCATACATGGCTTTTAAACTAAACTCATCCTTTTAATTCTATTTCCCCATGAGTTTTAAAGTCCCTTCACACATGATTCAGTACCTTCCATGGTTTTGGGTATCCACTGAGGGTCTTAGAACATATCCCCCAAGGATAAAAGGAAACTACAGTAACAGAACATGGTGCCTCAGTCAGGGCAGGGAATCCTATTATCAACGATTGTCTGAGATGGGCATGGGGCCTAGTGTGATAAGAGCATGTCAGAAATATAACTACTCGTGGGACCAGCAGTTAGCGTAACGGCTGTGTCACTGGACTCCCATGTAGTCGATTGCAGTTTGAGTCCTGGGCCTGGTGGCTTAAACTCACGCCGGGCGCATGTGCATGCGAGCCCAAGATCCTGAGAGGAGAATGGATTGCAGCATGGCCATCCCCTCTCCAGGGGGCGATTTCTTGTTTTCTGTCTCTGTCTTTCTGGCAGCGCACGATCCCTATAGCAAAAACTTCTCAAAAAAAAAAAAAAAAAAAAAAAAAAAAAATGAATATATAACTACTCACATAAAATAGGCTTTTTCCTTTTTTTTTTTTTTTTTAACTGCTGGATGAACCTGGAGGCAAGCAGGCTGCACCCTGTTGCTTTAATTTTTCCTTCTGGCTTAAACTGTACTTTAAGTTGGATCTATCACTGAATTTCTTTCAATCACACTGATGAATGCATTCTCAGGATCTTGCTTGTTAGCTGAAATTTGTAACAGAAAGCCCTGGTGGAAACACAGCTACTGGAAGAGTTCTGGGTGCTCCTAGAGAGTTGTCCGGACCCACCATCAGAAGGATACGCTTTAGCTTTCTCTGGATCCACAAGCGAGTAGGCAGAAATAAGCTGCGCCAGAGTGTGAATGTCCTTCGGATTCTGTCTAAGGTAAGAAATAAGGAAGTTACAAAGCCGGATGAAGTACCGTGGGTAAGTATAACCCCTCATCGAGGTTACAAAGCTGGGTGAAGTACCGTGGGTAAGTATAACCCCTCATCGAGGTTACAAAGCTGGGTGAAGTACCATGGGTAAGTATAACCCCTCATTGAGGTTACAAAGCTGGGTGAAGTACCGTGGGTAAGTATAACCCTCATAGCGAGGAACAGGGCTAGACGTGGACGGCTACCCCTCCGCCCACAGGGCTTACTTCCACAGCTGTTCTAGGTCACTGATGGCCTCCTTCTTCCGCCCGTATTTGAGTTTGAAGTTTGCAGCTTCTCTTATCAGAGACAGATGAGCAGGAGATTTGGGCTACGGGTTTGATAAAAAGGGAAGAAAGACTTTTAAGTTAAATGTCTAACCAGTAATGAAGTTATTGTCACTAAACTTTTTACACAGAACTATCAATTACATTCCTCAGCTTCAAATTCCTAAAACAACAAAATCACACATATGTAAGGAAGGTGGGTGGACAAATCAGTACAAGTGGCCAATTTAATAATCTGGAACAACCCAGCTTTATTTAGGTTGTCTACAATTAGGACCATTCCCCTATAATCAAATCTTAAAAATATACCATTTCAGTTCTCAAATATTAATAATACTTTCCAGAACACGGATGCCTCTCCACTGCTACTAGTGTACATAACCTGTATGTGTGTGTCTGCAAGCTGAATACTGGAGACCCATACTGAAATAATGATATGCAAAGACCCATTCTGGAAATAATGAAGCTGTTCCTATAGAGGGAAACATGATAAATAATTATTTAATATATTACTGCTCCACTAACTACAGTCACATGTCATAGTCACTTAAAATGAGCTCCCTTGGAGCCAGCAGGTGGTGTAGTGGTTAAGGCCCTGGACTTTCGCATGGCCCACCATGGTTCTTAATCCTGGACCTTGCGGCTTGAAATGCACACTGGTGCCTGTGCCCCAAATCCCAGGAGAATGGAGAAGGGACTGTGGCATGGCCATCTCCCCTGGGAAGTCATTTCTCACTTTCCCTCTCACTATCACTCTTTCTGGTGAGCACATGTGCCCTATGGCAAAAACCTTGAAAGACGAGCTCTCTCATATGCGATCCTGTACTATTATCATTTTTTTTAAAGAGATGGGGTCCGTTTAGAAAATTTATTAATATGCATTTTTATGATTAAGTTGTAATATAATTGTTGTGTATCTTTGTGGAGTATAACTGAGATTGTGGCATAGCCATCCCCCCCCCGGGGGGAGGTGAGTTCTCACTTTCTGTCTGGGGTGAGCGTACGCACCCTATAGCCAAAATCTCTCTTAAAAAAAGAAAAGTATATATGGGGACCAGCAGTTAGCGTAATGGCTATGTTGCTGGACTCCCACGTAGTCGACCACAGTTCGAGTCTCAGACCCGGTGGCTTAAACTCACGCTGGGCGCATGTGTGTGCATACCTAAGATCCCGAGAGGAGAATGGAGGAGAAGGGATTGCGGCGTGACCACCCCCCTGGGGGGTGATTTCTCGCTTTCTGTCTCTGTCTCTCTCTGTCTGTCTGGCGAGCACACGTGCCCTATAGCGAAAACCTCTATAAAAAAAAAAAAAAAACAAAAACAAACAAAAAAAAACAAAACCACACACACACTAAAACAAAACAAACAAACAAGAAAATAATGACTTAGAATACTTTAGTCCTGCTAATTTTTACCATAGTAGCTTTTTGTTGTTGTTGTTTTGTTTTAAAGAATTATTTAACTTTATTTATTTATTTGTCTTCCAATTTAACCAGAGAGGTCAATTGTAAAATTGGAAAATCTGACGAGAGAGAGGGAAAGTCAGAGAGCAAGCTGCCCAGGTCTGGGACTTGAACTATGGTCAGCCATGTGGGAGTCTAGCACCCTTAAACATCATGCCACCTGCAGGCCCCTGTAGCCTTTTTTTTTTTGGTAAAAATATGCTCTCATAACATTTTATTCCATTCATTTACCTGATGGTTTTGGTACCACTGGATAGCCTGTGTGAAGACCTCGATGGCACTATCGATATCTTCCTCATGGCTGTACATGGTCACTAAGGCAGACACCTACCCAGACAAAACATACATTAATAAACAAATGTCCCCTTCGCTCCCAGAATATGCTTTTTATAAATGACAAACACTGAAGAAACAGCAAGTAAAGTTTGCTAGGCTCTCTTATCAGTATCCAACTCACCATAAAACAAAAACAAAACAAACCTACTATCTTTAAAGAGCATAATTTTTCCCTGGAAATATCACATGTAACAATGTTTTCCAAATATAAGGGCAGTTATCTGCAAAATACACCTCTCCTCTAAAGCAATGTGAGTTCAAGAATGGTTTGGAAAGTACCGAGGTGAGGAATAAGCACTTGGAGACATCCACGCAAGACAACTGCTGGACTGCGGGACACAATCAGCAAGGTGCACACCATGAGGCCGGACGCCCTGAGCAGCAGGTGGCCTACAAGAGCCATAAAGTCAGGGAAGAGCATGCCTGGTGTGTGAGGGGCAGTGGGGCTGGGGGGAAAAGGATGAAGAGGAGCAGTTGGCAATGAGAATACAAAGGAAATGGAAACAAAAAGCTGAATCTTTAAGGAAAAACAGTAACCGGTAAGTCTCTGGACAGACTGATCAGAAAAGAAAAAGAGAAGGTATGAATAATCAATCAGGAACGAGAAGTTCTACAGATGTTAAAAAGATAGTAAGAGTGGGACCAGCAGATGGTGTAATGGTTACGTTGCTGCACTCCCACGTAGTCAACTGCGGCTTGATTCCTGGACCCAGCACCTTAAAACCCATGTCAGATGCGTGTGCGTGTGTGCCCAAAATCCCAGAAGGAGAATGGAGGAGAATGGACTGCGGCATGGTCATCCCCCTTGGGGGGTAATTCTTACTCTCTGTCTCTCTGGTGAGTACATACATTCTATAGCAAAATTCTCTTAAAAAAAAAAAAAAAAGAAAGAGAGAACTTTCATGTCAATAAATTTAATAGCCTATATGAATTGAATATATTTCTTGAAAGGCAACAGAGGCTATCTATTAACTATTAAGAACATTTTGTTTTCATCCATATACTATATGATTCTTTATTATTTATTTATTTATTTTGGGAGAGGTTTTTGCTATAGGGCACATGCGCTTGCCAGAAAGACAGAGAGAGAGAAAGCGAGGAATCACCCTCCAGGGGGGATGGCCACACCGCAATCCCTTCTCCTCCATTCTCCTCTCAGGATCTTGGGTACGCACTCACGCACATGCGCCCGGCGTGAGTTTAAGCTACTGGGTCCGGGACTTTCGGGACTTGAACTGTGGTTGACTACATGGGAGTCCAGTGACATAGCCATTATGCCATCTGCTGGTCCTGCATATACTATATATGATTTTAATACAAGGAAATTATAGCACAATCTTTGAAATATGAGCCTTTAAGAGAAATTACTACCATAATACTATTTCACATTATTGAATGAAAATTCTTACAAATAAAATCTAAAAAATTAAATTGCTTGGCCACTATTTACTAAATTGTTTCAATATAAAGATATCATACTGATGACATGATTTAACAGTCTATATTTAGAAATTCTCCAGGGCCAGCAGGTGGCATGGTGGTTAAGGGTGTGAGACTCCCACATGGCCGACTATGGTTCAAGTCCCAGATCTGGTGTCTCTCTCTCTCTCTCTTTCTCTCTCTCTTACTCTGTCCCTCTTTGGTAAAACAAAAACAAACAAATAAATAAATAAATCTTAAACAAACAAACAACAAAAAGACATTCTCTATTCATGGGGCCTGTAGGTGGCGTGGTGATTAAGGGCTCTGGACTACCATATGGCTGACCATGGTTCGAATCCAGGACCTGACAGCTTGCTTTCTCACTTTCCTCCTCTCTCTCATTCTGTCCCTCTCTGATCAAATTAAAATAAGTAAATAAATAAATAAAGTTAAATAAAATAATTCTTAAAAAAATTCCCTATACATGTCTGATTTTTTTTTTTTTAAGTTGGCTGTTGGAAATAACAAAGGGCCTAAACAGCACCTAGCAAATTTGACTAAATAATAATTAATTGATGCAAAGTAGAGCACAGAATGAAAAAATTTATACCAGGCAAGTAACTTAATATTTTAGCTACTATTCCTACCTTCTAAATACATATGGACATAAGTAGAAATTAAAGTGAATACAGGGGCCAGCAGATGGCATAGTGGTTAACGTGCTGGACTTCTACACGGCTGACTACGGTTTGAGTTCCAGACGTGGCACCTTGAAACTCACACCAGACGTATGTGCACATGTGCCCAAAATCCCAAGAAGAGAATGGAAGAGAAGAGACTGCAGAGTGGCCATTCCCCCGGAGATGATCTCTCCCTTTCTCTCTGTATGTCTCCGGTAAGTACATACATCCTATAGCAAAAATCTCTCTAAAAATAAATCAATAAATAGTAATAAATACAAAGAAACATCAGACACACAAATGGACCACAATTCCACTTGTGGTCTTATAATGCTCCAGTTATACACTCACCATGCCTGGCTTATGCTTTAACTCCTCTATACTTCGCAATATTAGACAAGCTTTGGAAATATTACCTTAAGAGATGAAAAATAAATCACCATCACATTAAACAAAGCATATTATGAAAAAAAGCTACAAAATATTTTACTTCTTCCAACTACTCTTCCTTAGGAGAGCAATGATTATTCCTATTCTATAATCTCTCTAAATATTCGAGCTCTGGGGCCTTGGGGACAGTGTACTCTATTCATTTTAGAGACAGGGAAATTGAGTTCTAAAGAAAGAATTCATATTAATGAAGTTCACAAAGAAAGTTAGAGGCAGGGCTGCTACCAGAACAGAAGTCTCCCACTCCTGGCCTATAATCTCTAGTACTTTTTCAGACTATAAACTGAAGGTGGTAGAGGTGGTGGTGGTCTTTCCTGCAGGCTTTAAAACCTGGTACTATAGATATGAATGCAACGGGAAATGTCACACAGCATTAAATTTTGATATTCCTTTCACTGCAACCCCCAGTAACTTAAACCTTCCAGTCTTTATAAACAAACCAAAGAAACAAGCAAAAAAGAAAACTGATAGAGTCTCAGTAACTTCACAATTACAAATAATACTTGTGAAAATAACTAAATGCTGGAAGAGGAAAGAAAATAAATAGACATATAAGAAAAAGAAGAGGGAAAAAGACAAGACAGGAAAGTAAAAAAAGGTGAGAACTGAGCCAGCAGGTGGCATGCTAGTTAAGGCACTGGATCCCACACGGCTGAAAAGATTCCGGGCTTGTTTGTGTGTGTTCCCCAAACCCCGAGAAGATATAGGAGAAGGGATCTTGTGGCCATCCCCCTGGAGGTATGCTTTCTTACCTTTTCTCTTTCTCCCTATCTCTTTTCAATAAGCACATGCACCCAATAGCAAAAAAACTTAAAGAGAGAGAGAAAGAGAGAGAGAGAGAATGGAGGGGCCACCAGTGGTGTGGCAGTTAAGGTCTTAGACCCCCATGCAACTTGAGAATCGTGCTAGGTGCATGTGCCCAAAGTCCCGAGAGGAGAATGGAGGAGAAGGGCTTGTGGTGTGTCCATCCTCCCTAGGGGGCAATTTCTTACTTTTTCTGTCTCTCTCTAGTAAGGGCAGGTATCCTATGAAAAAAATTAAAAAAAAAAAAAAAAAGTGGGAGAGGGGTAGTAATAAGGACACCTGGAATGTTCAACCCTGTTTTCATGACTGCCCCACTAAAGGAGTTCTTTCTGGCCTCTTTTTCCTGATTGCCAAACCGTCCTCCTGCCAAGTCGTGACATTTTCTCTTCTGTAATATCTAAGGTTTTTTTTGGCCAATCGCGGCCTCCATGGAGAATGCATCTATTCATCAGAGCATGTTGAGAGACTTTTCTGCGATGGCCGACACGACCGAGACGGCAGCTGCTGGTCAGCACGTGGCTAGGTGGCATGTGGTAACTAAGGTTCTGAAGTGTGGCCAGCACAAGTAAAGAACTAAATTTTAAATTTCATTTAATTTTAATTAATTTAAATTTAAAACAGGGACACGTGGCTAGTGGTTACCACACTGGCAACAAGGGAAAGTCACGAAACTGCAAAATAAGATGCAAAATAACCCTTCTTAATCATACAAATGTTACTAAATGACATATCAGCTTATGTCTCTCTTTTCCTTTCTTTTTCAGTTTTTAGATTTTTGTCATAGGGCATGTGTGCTCGCTAGAGAGACAGACAGACAGACAGACAGAGAGGCAAAGTGAGAGATGTCCTTGAGGGGATGGCCGCATAATCCCTTCTTCTCCTGGGATTTTCATGCATGGGTGCCCAGTGTGACTTTCAAGCTGCAGAGTCTGGGGCTTGAACTATGGCCGGACATGGAGGAATCCAGAGCTTTAACTACCAGGCTACCTGCTGGCCTTACGTCTCTCATTTCTACCCGTGATAAACTCAATAAAGATGAGTAGTGGAGTCTTTTGGAACAGAAGAATCATTTGCTTCTGACTTTCAGGAATAAACCGGGAATCATTCTTATAATTTAGAAATAATCCAAGAATTTACGAATAGCCCACAGTTACTTCACTCTTACATCTGTTCAAGATCACGTAATCTAGCTTTATGTTTGAAACAGTATTAGACTTTGCACAAAAACCTTCACATCATATAGTCCACAATTTCCAAATCGACCCAACCACAGTTTTGATTAAAATGATATTCTAATCATGATGAAAACCAACAGCAATACCTTGGGAAATTTTCAGCTGTGCCATGGTCAGTTTAATTTCAGCTGCATTTTCTGGATGCTGATCTGAAAATTCCTGAAATTATTTTAGTTGGGGGGGGGAAAAGTCACATTTAATTTATATAACTAAATGTACACTTTATAATTACTTGTCCTGGCTATGTTCAAGTTTAAACTGTTTAAAAGTTAAACTTAGGAGTTTAGGTCAAAAATCTTTGTTTCAAAGATATTCTCAAAAAGTTACGTGCAGTAAGTAATGCCAAGTTTCCCGGAAGTCATCGAGAGAAAAACGACGATGATTATTACACAGGTTTTTTGGTTTTGGTTTTTTAAAGGACACTCGAATGGTGTCTCCTCTCTGAGGGTCCCTACGGCAGCGTGACCTCTCAGGACGGTCCTGATTTTACACCGCCCAACTTTCCAATGTAGCCTGTACTCGGGAAATTCAGCCTAATAGTCGGTTTTGGCTGACAAAACCCAAATCTGTATGTGTAATTGTTTGAAGTTTCAGAGTATAACTCACAGGAGAATTATTTAAACAGGGGTTAAGCATGTTCGGTATTACAAGGCTAACACGAACCCCCACATTTATGTTAAATGGATCTTCAAATGAAAACGCAGCCTTTGGGGTTTATGATGATTATTTTTTACGTTATGCGAATTTATATAAAATAAAGCTGTAACCCAAGAGTTAACTACAGTGACAGTGGGATCTGTCTAGTGGTACACTACCAAATAGTTTTCTCATCAAACGTGTCAGACTATAGCATTATGAAAACGAAGTCTAGCAAATACCTGGCACTGCGTTTAAAACCCCACCCCTTACCTGCAGCAGCTCGATGGCTTTTGAGTGCTGCTTTTCCCGGCACAGTTGGGCAGCTTGGATCAGCACAGGCAGGAGATGCTCAGGTCTCTGAGACTGTAAACCGGAGGAGATTTTGCGGCATTGTTCTGCCTAGAAGATATTTCCCCCCCACAAAAATAAGCTGGTTAGTGAAATTAAACAGTGACTGAAAAGAAGAGGAGGGGGGAATTAGCTGAAATAAAATAGTAAGGGAGGATCTGTTTATGGTGAGGCAATGGGTTTTACAGTATCTCAGGTTTTTTTCTGTAAGAAAAAGACTTCCGCCAACTGAATTGAAGTTTGAGTTCTAAAAAAGGCTTTAATAAAGAACAAACTTTAAATACTTGGAAGACTAAATTTCCAAATTTTATTAAAAAAAAAAAAAAACTATAAGCATTTGCTTCAAAAACTACACAATACAATTATTTTCTGCTAAGAACTTGATTCAGCTGTAAATAGCAAAAAATCACTGCCTTTCAATCTCCCACTAAAAACTTCTGCTCTGTAAGAGTATGGAATCAGAATTTAATTAGAATGTATACTGGAGTTAGAATCAACCACCTTACCATTTGTAACGATGAACAGATGCAATTTTGCCCAACTACAATGAAAGATGGACGTAAACTCTGTAACCATGACTGGCACCTGTGACGATTCTATTCTAATTCAGAGATTAGAAATGAGGTAACGAGGCCTAGCCTGACTGTAGAGCTGGTAACAAACTAGACTGCAATGCTGGAAGCCACATGGCCTACTGTGGGTTCAGATACCCAGGTCAGCTAGAAGACACATCAAACACACGCATGTGTACAAGAGCCTCACAAACTCCAGGGCTGGGGTAAGAGAATCCAAGCATGGAACCAGCACATGGTGTAATGGTTATACCACTGGGTTCCCCCGTAGTCAACTGCAGTTTGAGCCCCTGACCCAGCGATTTAAAGCTCACATTGGGGGCATGTGCATGCATGCCCAAGATCCCAAGAGGAGAATGAAGAAGAGACTGTGGTATAGTCGTCCCCCTAGAGGGTGATTTCTCTTCCATCTGTTTCTCTCTGCCTGTCTTTCTGGACAGCACACATGCCCTATGGCAAAAATCCCTCTCTTGAAACAACACTGGGCACGTGTGCCCCAAATACTAATAGGATGGAGAAATGGAGATCACAGTGTGACCATGCCCCATGGGGGGTGCCTTCTTCCTCTCATTCTGGCAAGTACATGCATATTTTGGCATATTAAAACAAACAGACAAAATAAACAAAATCCATGTCACGGAACATTCTTAAGGAAAAATGATGTATGCATGGGTTTAAGACAAAATATAAACAAAGGAAGCAAACAGATTGGACTAGAGTACTTACTGCTCCTCAAACGCCATGTCATAAAAGGCTCAGCCGGGAAACCAGATGCCTGTTACCTACCTGGTTTGTGTACATAGCAAGCAGAGCTTTGTTAAATTCGATGGCTTGCAGTTGTTTCTTAGAAAGCTTGAACTCTACTCCTTCCGCATTGGTTAGTTTCACCTTCTTCTTCGAGTCAAAGACATTTTGGTCCTGTCAAAGAACAGTGAACCTATCATTAACAGAATCTCAGACATCAACTCTTAATACTCTAAGGCCTTATTCCTCATTCATTTAGTTATTTTATATAAACACAAGACAGCTTAGATATATCTATTCTCTAGGGTGCCTAAGCTGGTAAGATGCATAAAAATGAAAAGTTTTGAGGTTCTTAGTTCACTGAAGCAAACAAAATCTGTGCAATTCAAATCTACCAGTGTAGGGACCAGCAGTTAGCGTAATGGCTGTCACTGGACTCCCATGTAGTCGACCGTGGTTCGAGTCCCGGACCCAATGGCTTAAAACTCACGCCAAGTGTGTGTGCGTGCCAAGGATCCCCAGAGGAGAATGGAGGAAAAGGGATTGCGGCGTGACCATCCCCCCCTGGGGGGTGATTTCTCGCTTTCTGTCTCTCTGTCTCTCTCTGTCTGGCGAGCGCACACGCCCTATAGCAAAAACCTCTCCAAAAACAAAAAACAAAAAACAAAAAAAACCCTACCAGTGAACATGTATCTGTCCCATGATCCTTCCAGAACTTCTAGAAGAAGGCTTCCTATTACCAGTACTAAAAGGCTTAAGAAGTAATTGCTTCGAAGGGATTTTATTTTTATCTTCCCACTATTAACTGCCTGACTGGCATTTTTGTGAAGAAAAAAATAGGAACAAAATTCTTAGTGTACAGTACTACAAAGATACCCAACTCTGTAACTTCTATAAGCTATACTCTTCAGAATTTAAATGATAAATGAGGAAAACAACTCAGTCCTCTTTGAAAACTGCTCACTAGGTAAGCAAATCATTGAACAAACTTTAGAATACATTCACATTACTTTGGGAGAATTTACTTTTAGCAAAAAATATATGTACTATTTTTCCTTTCCCAAGTCCGTTTTTCTTAACTAGGCAGAAACACAAAGTTCACTGCTGACATTCCTATGTGGGGCAGCCATACTGTTTTCTGCCTAAAAAAGTCCCTTACGAGACGACTCTAAACAAAAGACAACTACGGCACATTGCCTTCTGAGGAGGACAAACTGAGCATCTGAGTTCTACAAATGCTAGCTTTGTGAACACCACAGTTATTTGAACGTGAGTGATATCAGTGTGCTTTTTAAGCCAGGATGTCTATGGGTTTAACAACTTTTAAAAGGAAACAACTAAAATAAATTCTGCTTTCCAAGTATGAAGCTCAAACCAATTTGAAACTATTTTTTTTTTTTGGAGAGGTTTTTGCTATAGGGCGCCTGTGCTCGCCAGGAAGACAGACAGAGAGAGAGAGAGAGAGAGAGAGAGAGAGAGACAGACAGACAGACAGACAGACAGAAAGTGAGAAATCACCCCCCAGGAGGGATGGCCACACCGCAATCTCTTCTCCTTCATTCTCCTCTCGGGATCTTGGGCACACACACACACGCACCCAGTGTGAGTTTAAGCCATCGGGTACAGGACTTGAACTGCAGTCGACTACATGGGAGTCCGGCGACATATCCATTATGCCAACTGCTGGTCCCAGAATTTGAAACTATTTTAATGTACAGAAAGAAAACTGTTTTTCTTGTATATCAATCTTCAAAAAAGCAAACCCTCCAGTTCATTTTCCTGAGCCATTATTTTATCCCTTCAGTTCATCACATCTGCCACTGCCAGGTTTTCTTAAACTTTTCTGACCTACTGACTATCTCACATGTATGTACCCTTCTTCTGTTTTCTCTTTTCCCCCATAAATTATAAGTATTTCTTCATACGTACATTCACTTATACTGTTGCGTAACCTTCAAACCATACCTTGCCTGCAAGGGTCAGATAATGTGCCAACCCAGAGATTGTACTAAATACTGCCATTGAAAAGTATAAAGACAAAAACTTCAAATCCACACAATGTTCTTCAATAGCAGAGTGAGATTTTAAATGATATAATCAGTAAGACCATGTTTCTTTTTAAAATTTATGAGAACTATTACTCTCAATACTACTTAGATTTAAAATATCAGAAATATCTGTTGGCTGAAGAAAGTTCAGGCTATCAATGACATTCATATTGAGATATTTAGCATTTTACATACTCTCTTCTCCAGTTATACATATCAGATAGAACGAATCTCTCCTGACCTAACAAGTATTTTTAGTGCATAAACACAGGCAGGTAGGTGAACACTGCTGCCAAGATTCTACTACCGGCATCGATGTTTAGAAACCTAGACCATGCCAATGGCCTGCACTATGCCACCATTTCTACCTGCCCTAATGCCTCCTCTCACACCTGGGGACTCTGTACATTTCTGCTATGAAGCAGAGACACCATGAAGGAGAAGGGGCGAGCTACAGAGATGGGACTCTAAGTCCAAGTTCCACTTCTGTTACTATGACCTTATACAAATGAATACTTAACTACTAGCCTCAGATTATACTTCTCCCTATACACTGGAGACAGATTGAGAAGCTAAAAAGATAACGAGGATGAAGTAAGTAAGAGCACTTGAAAAACCAAATCGCATTTAAGAGAAAGCAAATGTTAGGTAATTTTCTTATTTTTCTACTGACTTGGATTTCAAATCCAAATTTGAAATGTTCTTCTAATAAAACAATGTTTCAAATGGTTGTAAATTTGACTAGCATAGTATTCTAACTTAGGACTATGTATATACATACTTGTAATAGTTTACATGGATAAAGAGGGGGGAGAAAGAGCACCTGCCCATACTCACCCTCAAAAGAACTCAAGAGAGAAATATTAAAAATAAGAAATTGTGGATACCAGCAGATGATGTAATGACTATGTCACTGGACTCCCATGTATTTGAATGTGGTTCGAGTCCTGGACCTGGTGACTTAAATTCACACCAGGAGCATGTGTATGCCTGCCCAAGATCTCAAGAGGAGAATGGAGGACAAGGAATTGCAGTGTGGCCACCCCCCCGCCCCCGCCCTGGGGTGATTTCTTGTTTTCTGTCTCTGTCTGTCTTTCTGGCGAGCGCACATGCCCTATAGCAAAAATCTCTCCAAAAAAAAAAAAAAAAAGAAAAAGAAAAAAATGCACATTTATACTTAGCAGACATAGAAATCATACAAAATGTACATTGTTTCAACGTCTCAAAGTATAAATAATTAACAGAGGTAACTGAATTTCTATATTATTGGGTTGTTGGAAAAGTCATGATGCATTTTTATATAGAAAAACAGAAAAAAACATGTCACAACTTTTCTGACAACCTAATAGTATAAACTGGGAGAAGGAGAAGAATTTAAAGTCAGGACTGAAAAAAAAAGTTTTATTGGGATTAGCAGATGGTGTAATGTTTAAATCGCTGGACTCCCACGTGGCCGAGTCCTGGACCTGGAGGTTTGGAACTCACACTGGGTATGTGTGTGCGTTTGCCCCACATCCCAAGAGGAGATGGAAGAGAAAAGATTGCAAAGTGGCCATTCCACCTGGGGGATGATTCGTCTCTTTCTGTCTCCCTGTCTGCCTCTGTCTCTGCAGCACCCTATGTCAAAAATCTTATCTTAAAAAAAAAAAAAAAGAAGAAAGTGTTATTATTTAAATATACTTAGCATAATCGCCTTCAATAAAAGAGTTAAACTAACCTCTCCATTACAATTTTGCTACAATAGGACTTTTTCTGTCATGGAAAATGGAACACAACCTAAAACAAAGCTGGAATGACACGGATACCTTGTTAATGGTAATGATGTTATTTGCAATCACAGCAAGCAATGCCACATCTGTTGGCCTGTGAACAAGAAGCAACAGTCAAAATGGAGGAAATCTTTAAAATAAAACCTCATCCCCGAAAAAGAAACGTCAATAGCTCATTAACTTACTTTAGTTTTATTATCTGATTGTAAAGTTGCAAAGCCTCCTCCGTCCGGCCCTGAAGCTGCAGAATATAGGCCATCTGACCATGAATGATGGCTAGTTCTGCCTGTGGGTCTTCCTCCGCTCCATCCTATGTGGAAGAAACACATTTTTCTGTAAATATTCCAAACTGACCCACATAGTTACCAAGTAATCCAAACTTGTAAAGAGATACACTCCTGAAGATGACGTAACAGTTCCGCAATTTCCCATTATAGTCACTTCTCTGGTATTTAGGAATTACCACCAAAAGAGAGAAGGTCAAGTGAGAACAGCAAAACGGTCTTGGAAGAACATGGCAACAAGCGGAGAGTATTACTTATTGATCGCTATCATCCTCTAAAACTGAAGAATTAAAAACAAATGACATTAAAAAAGCCTGAAGGTTTAAACTATTTATAATGACACCTTAGAATTCATGAAAAATTATCTTCTCATAAGAACACACGTTAGAGGGACCAGGAGTTAGCGTAATGGCTATGTCACTGGATTCCCATGTAGTCGACCACGGTTCGTGTCCTGGACCTGGTGGCTTAAACTCACGCCGGGCACGTGTGTGTGCGTGCCCAAGATCGCGAGAGGAACATGGAGAAGAGAATGCGATGTGGCCATCCCCCCCGGGGGGTGATTTCTCGCTTTCTGTCTCTATGTCTCTCTCTGTCTGGTGAGCGCACGCGCCCTATAGCAAAAACCTCTCCAAACAAAAAAGAACACACGTTAGAAATGGTTCTCTCTCAGGACCAGCAGTTAGCGTAATGGCTATGTCACTGGACTCCCATGTAGTTGACCGCGGTTCATGTCCCAGATCCGGTGGCTTAAACTCAACGCTGGGCACATGTGTGTGCATGCCCAAGATCCTGAGAGGAGAATGGAGGAGAAGGGATTGCGGAATTTCCCCCCCCCCCGGGGGGGGGGGGTTTGATTTATCACTTTCTGTCTCTGTCTCTCTTTCTGGCAAACTCACACGCCCTACAGCAAAAAAAACCCCCCAAAACCAAAAAACAAAAAAAAACTCTCTCAAAAAAAAAAAAAAAAAAAGAAAGAAAGAAATGGTTCTCTCTCATGTCTATCCAAAGATTACAAAGTTCTAAGCGACACTGTACAAAGAACTTTAAAAGCTGCAGCTAATGCTGTAGTTAATGTAATTTCACGGTTGAACGTATTCTGTAGCAACTCTCTTAACTGCTGCTCTAGGTTAGTCCACAGCCTCGATTCCTTCTGGAAAGGCTGGCTAATTCTCGTGTACGTCGACTGCTCCAGGCGGGGAGGCTACCCACTTTCCCCACCCCAGCACTCCTGTCTCACCTGGGGAGTGGACGCTAATCAGAGGACAGAACTGTGTGTTTCCAAACTTACGATGCCAATATATTATAGTGAGATGAGGACTTAGGAATGTGCGTAAGAGTTTTTTCCATGTAAACTGTGAATTGTCAGGATTTGATATTGGCAAGTTCTTAAAAGAAAATTTTATCTGATTAGGTGTGAGTCTAAAAATGGCAACAGACTGGGGGAACCAGCAGTTAGCGTAATGGCTATGTCGCTGGACTCCCACGTAGTCGACCGTGGTTCGTGTCCCGGACCCGGTGGCTTAAAACTCACGCGGGGCGCGTGTGCGTGCGTGCCCAAGATCCCGAGAGGAGAATGGAGAAGGGATTGCGGCGTGACCATCCCCCCTGGGGGGTGATTTCTCGCTTTCTGTCTCTATGTCTCTCTCTGTCTGTCTGGCGAGTGCACGCGCCTTACAGTGAAAATCTCTCTCTCAAAAAAAAATGGCAACAGACTGATAAAATACTAACATCTATAAGGACTCTATAATGAAAATGCTTCTCAAATGTGTTTAAGATATTGTTGCACTTAACAATAAAAAGAGAAAATATAAATAGAATTTTCTTTTTTTTTCACTTTAAAGAATTTTTTTGACTTTATTTATTACTATATCATTATTATTTTTCAGTTTGATCAGAGAGAGACAGAGAGAAGAAGTAAGAAAGCAAGCCACCAAGTCTGAGAATTGAACCATGGTCGGCTATGTGGGAGCCCAGCACCTTTAACCACCATGCCACTTGCCGGCCCCATGAATAGAATTTTCTATGAGCAGACCCACACTCAAAGACCTTTGCCCTATGTCCTGAATTAGAGTAAAGTTATATTTCTATGAATTTACAATAAAATGCTTTAGATATATAAAACTTTTTTATTGTAATTTCTCACCCTAATAAACTTCATTAAATAACTGATCAAGGGACCAGCAGGTGGTATGGTGTTTAAGAGCACTGGAATTCCACATGGCTAACCGCGGTTCAAGTCCTGAACCTGGTGGCTTTCTCTCTCTCTCCCTCTCTCTCTTTCTCCTTCTCACTCTGTCCCTCTGGTCAAATTAAAATAAATAAAATTCAATAAAATAATTCTTTAAAAAAATTAAAAATAACTGATCAAGAGGGTCTGTCATGTGATTCCTATTTAACAAATCACCATCTGTTACAAAAAGTCAGTAAATACTACAGTGACACCTCCTACGAATTTGTATTAGAAGTGTCAAATCTAGCTTTAACAACAGTGGAATACTTACAGAGTCTTCTGACAATGAACGGCGGCAAAGATCTACAAGAGAAAAATTATTTTATAATTAGGATTGCTGAGTAAATCTCCTTCCCTTCATCATTTCAAAGAATAAAACTAAATTCTGGGGAAGAGATTTCAAACGAATCCTTTTTAAAAAATAAATTTTTTTTTGTTAGTTTATGGGGTGCATGAGCTCACTGGAGAGACTGAGAAAGAGTGGGGGAAGGTGAGAAATCACCCCCTGGGGTCGGGGGAATGACCATCCACAATCCCTATGTTTTCACGTTGCCAGGTCTGGAACTCAGACCACACAGACAGCCATGTGGGATCCAGCTGCCTTAGCCTCCTCGCCACTTGCTGCCCCCAAAGTAATCTTCCTAAAAGCAAATCTAAACCTTACAATTAACATCAAACATATTACATAAGCATTTCATGTCCCCGATTAATCTAGCTCTTTGGAACTTTGGATTCATGTACAGTCTCTAAGCTAAAAAAGAAACACACAAAAACCAAAACTGCTTTTTAAGGTTATTAAAAATGATATAAATAAATGTCTGTCAAATAGCAATTACAGAAAAATAGGAAGATTAGACATGGGCCAGCTGCAGGCACAGGCAAAGTGATGCTGTATGATGACAGGTTCCTGGGAGGCCCAGGCTTCGCTCCCAGCCCAAACTAGTACGGCCAGTACCTGGGCCTGCGCCCGCACTCCTGGCTCACCAGCAGGCTGAAGCAGGAAGACCTGATGCCGTGAGACCCTGTCAAAAACACTTTCCTCTCTATTCTCCTGTGTGAGCACTCCTTCCACATGTACATAAACAAACAAGACAATAGCACTGCCACCTAGAGACAAACGCTGCGAGGATTTCTGTCATTTAGGGTGTTTTAAAAAGTGTAAATGTACAGCTGCATTTTAAAATGGAAGGGGAATATTCCACACACTATTTTGAAATGCTTCTCTCCCCATTTAATAAACTATTTGACATCTGTATGCTATCAAAAGTACACATGTACACTGTTTTTTATGTATTATTTCAATGACTACATGGTACTCTACTTTGTAATTGTGATACAACCTATCCATTATCTTTTCTTTTTAAATTTTTGGCAGAGTGCACATTCGATCCCAGAGACACAGAGACAAGAAGGAGAGGGAGAGAGCACCCCCTACCTGGGGCACAGCCATGCCACAATCCCTCCTCCTCCACTTCTCCGTGCTGTCAGGATGTAGGGCACGCACACATGCACACACGGTTTGATTTTCAAGATGCTGGGATTGGGATCTGAATCACACAGCCATGTGAAATCCAGCTCCTTTAACCACCAGGCCATGGGGCCAGCCCAAGCAATCATTTAATAGCACAGGAATTCATGATGTTTTAAAATAGTTGTTCTTATGAACACTTTCTCATTTTTCTTTTATTTTGGAGAAATCCAGCTCTATAGGGCGCATGTGCTCGCCAGAAAGACAGAGACAGAGAGACAGAGAGAGACAGAAAGCGAGAAATCACCCCCCAGGGGGGATGGCCACACTGCAATCCCTTCTTCTCCATTCTCCTCTGGATCTTGGGCATGCATGCAGATGCGCCCGGTGTGAGTTTAAGCCATCGGATTCAGGACTTAAACCATGGTCGACTACATGGGAGTCCAGCAACACAGCCATTATGCCAACTGCTGGTCCCTTATGAACACTTTTTCACTTATTTCCTTAAAGTAATTTTTTTTTTTATTTTTTAGAGACTTCTGCTATAGGGCATGTGCCCTATAGAAAGACAGAGAGAGACAGAGAGACAGGAAGCAAGAAATCACCCCCCAAGGGGGATGGCCACACCGCAATCCCTTCTCCTCCATTCTCCTCTCGGGATCTTGGGCACGCACACACATGCACCTTGTGTGAATTTAAGCTACTGGGTCTGGGACTTGAACTGCGGTCGACTACATAGGAGTCCAGCGACATAGCCATCCCGCCAACTGCTGGTCCCTCCTTAAAGTAAATTTCTAGTAAAGGAATTCTTAGATCAAAAGGTATGAAAATTGAAATATCTCCAGCCAGCACACTGGCACAGCATAAAGCAGTGCTCCACAATGCCACGGCCATGTCAGAAGGTCCAGGGTCTATGTCCGCAGTCTCCCTGTATGTACTGGGTGTACAAACATACGCCTGGGATCCTGTGGTTGAGGCTTGGGGAGGACTGCGGCATGACGACCCTGTTGGGGTGCCTTCCTCCCTCTCCTTCCCTTTGTCTCCCCTGCCCCCCGAACACCATGAAAGAAATAAGAGTTAAAACAAAAATTCTTAGGGCTGGCAGTAGCATGGTTATTAAGGGGCTGGACTTCCACATAGCCAACTGTGGTTCAAGTCCTGGACCTGCTGGCTTCCTTTTTCACTTTCCCTTTCTCTTGCTCTCTCTGGTCAAATTAAAATAATCCATGACATAGGGGCAGGCAGGTAACATGGTGGTTAAGGGCACTGGACTCCAACATGGCTGACCTTGGTTCGAGTCCTGGACATGGTGACTTGCTTTCTCACTTTCCCTCTCTCTCTCACTCTGTCCTTTTTGTGTCAAATTAAAATTAATTAATTAATTCTAAAAAATAAAAAAACCTAAAATGAGCAAAATAAAAAAATACATAAAAGAAATAATAAAAAAAAAATTCTTGGGTGAGGCTGGTGGTGCAGTGGTTAAGCACTGTGCATCAGGAGCCGAATCCCAAAAGACAATCATAGTTTGAACCCTGGCCCTTGTGGCTTCAAAAACTTACCACACACATGTGTATTCATGCCCAAGTCCTGATGGGGCAGAGAAATACAGGAATGAGAACTGCAAGTGACCATGCCCCAACAGAGGTTGCTCTCTCTATCCCTCTCTCATGAGAAGATGCACTCTCTGGCAATTAAAAAATCTTTTTTTAAAAGAATTATTTACTTTGAGGCCAGCAAATGGCATAGTGGTTAAGGTGCTGGACTCCTGCTGGCTGACCGTGGTTTGAGTCCTGAACCTGGAAACTAGAAACACACTGGGCACGTTGTGTGTGCATGCCCCAAATCCCAAGAGAATGGAAGAGAAGGGACTATGGCAGGGTCATCGGCCCTTGGGGGTGATTTCTCACTTTCTGTCTCTCTCTGCATCTCTGATGAGTACACAAGCCTTAAAGCAAAAATCTCCTAAAAAATTACTTTATGTATTAGTTTTTAATCTGACTAAAGAGAGAGAAAGGGAAGTGAGAAAACAAGTCACCAGGTCTTGGGACTTGACTTGTGGTCAGCCATGCGGGAGTCCAGCCTCCCTACCACCATGCCACCTACTGGCCCCCCCCACAAAGATTGTTAACAACAACAACAACAACAACAACAACAAATTCTCCTAAGCGTCACCAAACTGCCTACTGTAAAATCTGTGCTACCTTTACACTCAAACCTGCACTTCATAAGAATATCTTTCTCCTATTCCAGTGTTGACACAGCGTGCTCAGGAAATCATAATTTTTAAAAAGGTTTTTCTTCTAACGCCAGCTGGTGGCATGGTGGTTAAGGCACCGGATCCCACATGGCCATGTTTAAGAAGTTTTCAGTCCCCAACCTTGTGGCTTGAAAAACATGTCAGGTATGTGTGCATGCATGCCCAAAATCCTGAGAGGAGAATGGAGGAGAGGGGAGTGCAGTGTGGCCATCCTCCCAGGGGAGGTCATCTCTCACTCTCTGAGGAAGCAAAACTTAAACAAAACAAAACGAAAACAGTAACCAGATTTTTGCTCTCATGATGCTCTAGTCTGCTCTTATTTTAACCTCTGACGTGTAATAACCATTTACTGCAGTCCCTATAACATCACTTTTACAGCTTCCAGTGAAAATGAATGCAGAAGTACAAATGTATCAGGATTTGAGAAAAGAGTTTAAGTTTCCAATAAATTATTTTTTCTTAAAGGAAAAAAACTTCAAAAAATAGGCAAATATATGTAATACAAACAACGCCACAGTTAGTTACCTGAGTACGTGTTTAACAATGGCAATGACAGCTATTATTTGCTGCAGGCTTATGTGTCATGTACAATTGCCAATGCTCGATATGAACTCCTTTATTTAGATTTAATATTCATGGTAATTTGTTCAAAAAATACTATTTAAAATAATTCAAACTTTAAGGTCTAGTGTGGTTGATGATAGACAAATGGACTGGCTTAGGGATTAGGCAGAAGACAAGGAGTGATATGATTTAAAAGAGAACGGTTACAGGGCTGACAGGAGGCACGGTGGTTGGGGTGCTGGACTCCCACATATCAAGGCCTGGACCTGGTGGCCTGCATTCTCACCATCCCTCTCTCTCATCAAATTAAAAATAGTAGTAATAATAAATAATTTTTTTAAAAAAGAAGGATTGGATGAACTCAGAAATTTTCACTATGTTAATGATTAAGTCATTCTATTTAGTAATTTTACAAAAGTCAAACACATAGCTTCATGTACATTATATCTGCAGACAATCTTAATGAACGTCCCACCTTCAGCCTTCTGCAGGATTTTCATCGCCTGGGTCAGCTGGCCTTGTCCTATCAGTGCGCACGCAGCATTGTAGCACAGTTCGTGTGTGCCTTCTTGGAGGCCCAAGTTCTCCTGTCACGGAGCAGAATACCAGTCAAACAGCAGACATTAACATTTCCCGGCCGTACTGCTACACAAGGATACTCACTGGAACCACTTTTTCCCAGTTGCTTTGAGCGGCAACAACTGCCGAAAGGTTTGTTTTCCTCTCCTCATCGTAGTCGTCCTGGGAGTTTCGGACGAGATCTCTGTATACGGCTAGGCATTCATCGTAACGTTCCAGACGGTATAACTGAAGGGCAGGGAGGGAGTACAGCACCAGAGAAGGTAAATGTAGTACTATAGCTCTCACACTACATGAACTTTTCTTCAACCATTAAGTAGGAAACCGAATTCAATATAACATGGGCAAGCAACGGCTATCTTTTGTAATTTAAAAATTAGTTCTATGTGCCAGTAATACTTTCCAACAGTAACTTGCAATGAATCTGAACAATAATGTAGATCTGCCAGCATGACTTAGTTTAGAAAAGTAATTTTCTTTTCCTTTTTGAATTTAGTGAAGCAACTAAATGGATTATGAAAGGAATTTTTCTTACAGAAATCAGCTGTTACCTAAATATGCATTACAATCAAAACAATTTCTCCACCATACAAAATGAATTGCTAAGCACTAGTCAAGAGGAACAAAATTAAATGTTAACAAAAAGACTTAGAATTTTCCAGTTTACTATATATGACTTTATTTTCTGTTCTTAGAAATCAGCTATTGGGAGACCAGCAGTTAGCGTAATGGCTATGTCGCTGGACTCCCACAGAGTCGACCATGGTTTGAGTCCTACACCTGGTGGGTTAAAACTCATGCTGGTCACGTGTGTGTGCATACGTGCCCAAGATCCCTAGAGGAGAATGGAGGAGAAGGGATAGCGGTGTGGCCATCCCCCCGGGAGGGTGATTTCTCGCTTTCTGTCTCTCTGTCTTTATGGCAAGCATACATGCCCTATAGCAAAAAACTCTCAAAAAAAGAAAGAAGTTATCAAGACCAGTAGATGGCGTAATGGTTACCTTGCTGGACTCCCACAGAGTCGACCATGGTTTGAGTCCTACACCTGGTGGGTTAAAACTCATGCTGGTCACGTGTGTGTGCATACGTGCCCAAGATCCCTAGAGGAGAATGGAGGAGAAGGGATAGCGGTGTGGCCATCCCCCCGGGAGGGTGATTTCTCGCTTTCTGTCTCTCTGTCTTTATGGCAAGCATACATGCCCTATAGCAAAAATCTCTTAAAAATATATCAGTTATCAAACACGGTAGTTTCACATAATATAATCCCTGCATATTTTTCTCAATTTGTTCTCAAAAAGAAATAACAATTTCTACCAGAGGTAAATTAGACTACTATGTATAACAGAGATCAATGCCCATGATTAACCTCAAAATGTTGGACTTTATCCTAAACTTACCCAGTTTATCTTGAAAGTTCTTTAAAAACCTATAATCCATAAATTTGTCTGTCTTTTGTCAACTCATTTGTGTTGTTTTTTCTTATAATTACTTAATTTCATTTATTCATTTATTTAAATTTGAACAGAGAGAGAGAGAAAGTGAGAAAGCAAGCTGCAGGTCTGAGACTCAAATCATGGTCAGCCATGTGGGAGTGTCCAGCGCCTTAACCATGATGCCACCTGCTGGTCCCCAACTCATTTGTATTGTTAAACTCACATTATTGTACCTCTTGGGGGAAATATGTTCAATACAACATTATTTGCTCTAGCTTAATATGCTCATTTCAATTTTCTCATCATTAAAAGCCTTATTTTAGATTAGGTTTAAGTAATCCTTTTACAAAAAGGATTTCAGAATGAAATAACTATACAATTTCTTGAGCTAGCTGAAATTATTCATTATTACCACTTATCATTTTATTTTAAACTTATACTAGAAAGAAATACTACCTTATATTACTTGCTCATTGCTTTGAATGGGACCATTCTGTGAGATAGGGAAATCTGTCTCAAATGTGTGTAAGCGTGCAAGCTCATCGGCCTTCATCTTCCCAACGAAAAAGTTCAAATTTCAGAGTAGAGCTTCTTCTCTTTAATTACCTAATTACCCCAAGAGTCATCTGTTCACAGAACACAACGCAACTATTCATATGAAGATCAGTATGAAGAGGGAATATGTCCAAACCTCAGAAACTGGTTTGGCGGCCAGAGCTGCGGAGCGTCAGGATGGGCTGGATTTCCGCATCCCTGCTCCTTGCTAGAGGTAGCTGGTGCTCACTGAGGCTCACTGTCAGCAGGTATGTTAAACAGTAATTACCACTTGTCCGTAGAGCTCCTTTAGCTTGTCTGTCTGCTGGCTGGCACCTTCTATTGTCCTCAAAGCATTCTCAATTCTGTTCAGCCGATACTCACAATATGCCTTCTCAAAAGAGAGAGAATTGCTGGAGAAGGAAAAAAACAGTATTCAGTTATTATCTAACTATGCAGGGCACCCCTTAGATGCCAGATAATGCACTAAGCACTTGATACCTATTAATTTATTTAATTCCCATAAGGACAGACAAGGAAATAACAAAGGTTAGTGACTTGTCCAAAATCAGACAGCTTGTACATGGTGGAAAATATCATATCCATTTCTCTAGCTTCTACTGTTTCAAGGATATTCTTATTGGAATTACTAAATTTTTAAAAACAAATATTTAAGAAGGCAACCACCAATCAGCTAAATAAACAATGATAATCTGAACACTGTTTGTTTGTTTGTTTGTGAGGTTTTTGTTATAGGGTACGTGCACTCGCCAGAAAGACAGAGAGACAGAGAGAAAGTGAGAAATCAGTCCCCGGGGGGATGGCCACATCGCAATCCCTTCTCCTCCATTCTCCTCTCAGGATCTTGGGCACCCACACACATGTACCCGGTATGAGTATAAGTCACCAGGTCCAGAACTTGAATTGCGGTCAACTACATGGGAGTCCAGCGACATAGCCATTACACTAACTGCTGGTCCCTGAACACTGTTTTAATAGGACCTTTTTTTATATAAGAGAGATCTTTTGGCTATAGGGCATGTTAGCTTGCTGGAGAGACAGAGACAGAAAGTGAGAAATCACCCCCCTAAGAAGGAATAGCCACACTTCAATTCCTTCTCCATTTTCCTTTCCAGATCTTGGGCATTCATGCATATGCGCCTAGCTTGAGTTTCAAGCCACTCGGTCCAAGACTTGAACCACAATCAACTACATGGGAACAAAAGTAAAGTAACCATTATCCCAGCTGCTGGTCCTGTAAATGGGTTATTTTAAGAAGTTTCTTAAATCCATTAATAAAATAAGTAATAAAATGCTTCTTTTAAAAAACATTTATTATTATTATTATTTTATTTTGACCAGAGAAAGATAGAGACAGAGAGAGAGGGGCGAAGTGAGCAAGCAATCCCCAGGTCCAGGACGTGAACTGCAGTCAGCCATGTGGGAGTCCAGCACCTAACAACCTTACACCTGCTGGCCTCTAAATGCTTCTTTTAACTTGTCCAAGAAGCAAATGATTATTAGCAACAGAAAAAAACAAGAACAAAAAGCTCAAAAGAATGCAGTATTTGTAATCAAAGTGTTAAACACACAACATAAGTTACATACACAGATTTTAATTTCTCTATCTCACAGAATGGTTCAATTCAAAACAATGAGCGAGTTATAAACATATTTAATAGTAGAAAGTGGTGTCACCTTTATTTTCTATGTACGTACGTATGTATTTATGTATGCATGCATGTATTTACCAAAGAGCACGTAGGCTTGCCAAAGACAAGAGAGACACCTGGCAACAAACAAACCCCACCTCCCCCCGGTGGTCATACACAATCCCCTCTTTTCCTTTTGTCCCTCCCTTTGGGATGCACCAATACACATCCGCTCAGCGTGTTTTTCAAGCCACGGGCTGAACTCAAACTGCAAAGGTGGGCTATGCGAGATCCAGCTCCCTTAACCATCAGCCCACTGGCTAGATCTCCCTTTAAAATATATTTTTTTTAGTTATTCATCTGCAATAAGGCTCAAATATAAAATGATATATATGCTAAGAGATTTTCCTCCAATGTATCCAAATCTAACCTATTCTTCCCCACCTTCTACAAGTGACTACTTTTATTTTTCCTTCTAGTGTGTTTTTGCAAATTTAGGCAAATACATATATATTCTTATATTCTCCTTCTCTTTTTTTAAAAACAAAAACAAAAACCTATTTTATTTAACTTTATTTATTCACTTATTTCAGTTTGACCAGAGAGGGGATAGAGTGAGAGGGGAAAATGAGAAAGCAAGCCAGGTCCAGAAGGTCTGGAACTCGAACCAGTCGACCATGTGGGAGCCCAGCATCCTTAACCACCAAGCCTCCTGCTGGCCCCTTATAGTCTCCTTCTCTTACAAAGTTTACTACAGTATCAACTTTTCTGTACCTTATAAAACAGTATTCCATGACAGAATAAATACGACACAAATTGGACCAGTAGGTGGTGTGAATGGGTCCCACATGGCTGACTGTGCAGGTCAAGTCCCAGACTCAGCAGCTTAAAAAACATGCAGAACACGTGTACGTGCATCCTTCCAAATCCCAAGAGGAGAATGGAGAAGAAGGGACTGCGATGCAGCCATCCCCCCTCCAGGGATGCTTTCTCACTTTCTCTTTCTTTTTGTGCTGTGGGGAATGTACATGCCCTATAGGAAATTAACCACAAAAATAAAAAATAAAATATTCTAAAGACTTAAAAAACTCTTGACACTGTGACTAGCAGACGGAGTAATGGTTACATGGCTGGATTCCCACATGATTGACATGATCAACTACAGTTCAAGACCTGGAACTGGCAGCTTAAAACTCACGCCAGGCATGTGTGCTGCGTGATTAAGGTTCCGGGAGGAGGGTGGAGGAGAAGGGATTGTGGTGTGGGCACCTCCCTGAGGGATGATTTCTCGCTTTTGGTCTCTCTGTCGAGCACACATGCCCTATAGCAAAAATCTCTCTTAAAAACAAAAAACAAAACTGTGACAGTAAAATATTTTGGCCTAAAACCACCCTCACCTAAATAATTTTCAATGGATTTAGGCACAAAAGTCAGGCTAAGATGGTTGTATCATCCTAGAGATCTCCATCAACTCAGACCCTGACACACTGGCTTTACCCATATCCATCCCAACCCTGCACGTCTGCCCTCTGTGCCTTTTAAAAAAAGTAAACCTCTGGGCTGGCAGGTTGCATGGTAGTTAAGGCACTGGACCCACATGGCTGACTGCAGTTTGAGTCCGAGACTTGGTGGCTTTCTTTCCCACTTTACTTCCCTCTCTCTCTTTCTGGTCAAATTAAAAAATAATGGAATAATTCTTTAAAAAATAAAATAAAACTTCTGTTCTGTCATCCTCTTTATATTCTTCAAGGACTCTTGTTATATTTTTTGTCCCACAACCCTCTATGGTTCACTTCCTTCAGACAGAAGACAGGTATTAAGAAAGGGTCCCAAGGTAGAAAAGAACAAGCTACGATTGCTACTTTCAGTGTCAGATACACTATTAACAAGCAAAAGATAAAGGGAGGAAGTTAAAAAAAGGTAAAAAATTCAGTAAATACTAGGGGGTTGTCATGAAAGAAGTTTAGTTATGATAAAAGTGTTTCTATAACTGCACAAACAACAAACAGAATAACTTACTTGGCCAACACTTTGGTGTGAGTATTGATGACATTCAAGGCTTCCTTGAAGCTTCCATTCTGGATAAGACATACCACTTTACAGTGCAGGGCGGTGACATCATCCTTGTTGATCTGCAATACTAGAGAGCAATTTTAGGCAAATCATTTTCAAACCCATTCCCTTTTCTTTTTTCTTTTTTTTAATTATCAGAGGGACATGAGCTCACCAGAGAAAGACATAGAGAAAGACATAGGGGAGAAAGCATCACCCCCCAGCCCCACGAGGCATGCTTACACAACAATCCCTGCTCCTCCATTTACCCATCTTCAGGATCTGGGTCCTTCACACACATTTCTAGAATGTTGTTCCAGCTGCCTGGCAAAGATTCCAACCGTGGTCAGTCATGTGGGATACGGCTCTCCTTAACTACCAAGCTATGGGGTCAGCCCTCTTCACATTTTCACTAAGTTTTCCCACACCCTGTCCAGAGAGCTACATTTCTAATTCCAATGCAGAAGAAATGATTGGCTGAGACAGTTAAAAAAAAGACTGTTGTAGGAGCCAGCAGGTGGCAAGGTGATTAAAGTACTGGACATTCCCACCTGGCCTGCCACTGTTCGAGTCTTGGACACTTGCTTTCTCATTCCCCACACCCCCGTGTGTGTGTGCCTCTCTGGTCAAATTAAAATAAATGAATGAACAAATAAAATTGAATAAATAATTCTTAAAAAAAAAAAGACTGTTCTTTATTTCTTCATTTTTAACTTAAGTGATAATAAGGAGAGTTATAGATCAGATTTTCAATGAGATAAAGATGAATGCACCAAAAGAGTATAGTGAAATGAAGCAAGAAAGAAATTTTTTCATCTCGGGATACAAGCTACATTCTATACATTTCATTACCTCATAAGGAAAGATAAAAGTTCATGGAGAATTTAGAAGCAATTAACTTAATTTTAGTGCAAGCTGGCCACTGATTGCCTTGAGGTCTTAGGCAAATCATTTAACAGGCAAATCTCAGTTTTCTGATCTATAAAATTAATAGGAAATCATTACCTATTTACAAGGTTATCAAGAACATGAAATGAAGGGCCAGCAGGTGGCATGGTGGCTAAGGTGATGGACTCTCACATGGTCAATCATGGTTTGAGTCTCAGACTTGGCGGCTTAAAAAAAAAAAAAAATCACACAGGGTGTATATGCGTGCATGCCCAAAATCATAGGAGGAGAATGGAGAAGAGATTGTGGCATGGCCATCCCTCATGGAGGATGATTTCTCACTTCTCTCTCTTTTCTCTCTATCCCTCTCCAGGGAGCACACATACCTGGTGGAAAAGAAACTAAAAAAAAAAAGAGAGAGAGAGAGAGAAATGAGTCATGCATTGCTTAATGATGAGGACACACTATGAAAAATGTTTCATTAGGTGATTCTGTTGTGCAAACCTCACAGAGTATATTTAACAAAACTTAGATGACATAGCCTATTACACACTTAAGCTATACAATCTTACTGTGCAACCTTTTGTATTATAATCCTACTGAGGGCCAGCAGGTGCGGTGGTGGTTAAGGCACTGAACTACTTGGTCAACCACAGTTCAAGTACGAGACCTGGCAGCTTGCTTTCTTATTCCCCTCCACCCCTGTCTCTCTCTGATGAGCACATGTGCCCTGGAGCAAATTTAAACCAAAATAATAATAATGATAAATAAAATTAAATAATTTTTTAAAAAGTATCTTACTAGGGCCAGCAGATGGCATAGTGGTTACATTGCTGGATTCTCACAATCTCAACTGTGGTTCCAGTCCTCGACTCGGAGGATTAAAACTCAGGCCAACTGCGTGTACATGTGTGCCCAAGATTCCGAGAGGAGAATAGAGGAGAAGGGGTTGGGGGATTGATTTCTTTCTTTCTGTCTCTCTGCCTGTCCAGCGAGCACACCACACACTCTACAGCAAAAACCTCTACCCTCCCCCCCCCAAAAAAAACCCACAAAAATCCTCACACCTGGCATGTATGCACACATGCCCAAGATCCCAGGAGAAGAGTGAATAAGGTACTGTGTGGTGTGGCCAACCCCCGAAGGGGTGATTTCTTGCTGTCTGTCTCTATCCAGCAAGTGCACGCGTCCTACAGCAAAATCTCTCTTAAAAAACAATCAATCAAGGACCAGCAGTTAACATAATGGCTATGTCGCTGAACTCCCACATGGTCGACCACGGTTC